CGGTCTCATAATATACCAAGTGATATAGTAAGACTGCCAGGCTCTCCATGGATTGTTGTTGGGTCTGGGAGGCGATGTCGACAGCGAAGAGAGAGGAAGCAGCAATGGGGATGCAGAGCTGGTTTGCTAGCTCGGTTACGGAAGCAACCTTGGAGACCAGCATTACCAAGTATTTTTCTAACCAACGCTAGATCCTTTGTCAACAAAACTGATGAACTACAGTTATGGATGGCTGCGAATAGATTATTTGCGACTGCTGTGTGATGAATATTATGGAGACCTGGCTTCATCCACTTGTACCGGATGCGTCAGTGGAGCTAACTAACTGCACCACACACCACTTCAACAGAAATGGCAACTCCGGTAAAAGCAAAAGTGGAAGACTTTGTATTTTCACACATAATGAGTGGTGTACTAACAGTAGAGTTACTTATACACACTGTTCTCCATTTACCTAGAGAGGTTTCTGTTGTAGTTATCACCGCTGTCTATATTCCACCTGATACAAATGTTAGCACAGCGTTCTCTAAGTTACATGACGCCATTGAGAGGCAGCAGCAAACTTACCCTGAAGGCGCTTTTGTCATGGCTGGGGATTTTAATCAAGCCTGCCTACAGTCTGTTCTTTCTAAGTTTGTGCAGTATGTGCAGTGTACCACTAGAGATAAGAACACTTTAGACCATATGTATTCAAACTTAAGACAGGCATATACAGCAATCCCCCTCTCCCATCTGGGTACATCTGACCACATCTCTCTGCTATTGTGTCCAAAGTATATCCCCCTTAGGAAAAGGATACGGGGAGTCAGGTAAACTGTTAAAATCTAGCCAGAGGGAGTACTCTGCCAGTTGCAGGACTGCTTTGAGACTACTGAGTGGAGTATATTTGAACATTTGGAGCTGCAAGAATTCACTAATGCTGTACTCTCATACATTAAAACATGCACAGACAATGTAACAGTGAATAAAAGCATTAGAGTTTACAGTAATCATAAACCCTGGATGTCATCAGAGGTACAATCACTTCTAAGAGCCCAAAACTCCACCTTCAAGGCAGGAAATAAAGACAAATACAACAAGGCCAGGGCAAACTTGAGGACAGGCATTAAGGCAGCTAAACAGGAATACAAACAAAAAGTAGAGAAGCATCTGGCAGATAATAACCCAAGACAGGTGTGGCAGGGATTGCAATATCTAACCAATTATAAGGGAAATACGATGAAAACAGCCAACACTGATGCCCTACTGGTGGAGGAGCTGAATAGCTTCTTCGCCTGCTTTGAGGTTAAGAGAACTGTCTCCGTGGCTCTAGGTCAAAGGCCCTCTAATCTCCAGCCACTCACCCTGCGTGAACATCAAGTGAGAGCTATGCTAAAGGCGGTAAATCCCAACAAAGGTGCAGGTCCAGACGGAGTGCTGGGGAAAGTGGTAAAAACCTGAGCTGACCAATTAACAGGGGTCCTGACAAGGATTTTAAACATCTCTGCAATTGCCTAGAGTTCCATCTTGTTTGAAAGCAGCCAAGCGAACAATCATTCCAGTTCCGAAGAAAGCAGCCATAAACAGCCTGGATGATTATAGACCCATTGCACTGACATCTCTAGTGATGAAGTGCTTTGAGACACTGGTTCTACAGCACCTCAGGTAGAGGTCTTCCACTAAATTTTGATCAACACCAGTTTGCTTATAGAAGCAACAGATCGACAGAAGACTCCATCGCCACTGGTTTACATACTGCATTGAGACACCTCAAGAAATCTGGGAACTGTCAGAATGCTCTTTATAGACTATCATCTTACCAGGCATTCTCATTGAAAAGCAGACTGACCTGAATTTCCCTCTCTTCATTTGTGACTGGGTCAAAGACTTCCTGATGGACCATCCACAAACAGTAAGGGTTGAGTCTCTGACATCTTCCACCCTGAAGCTCAGCACAGGCTCCCCACAGGGCTGCGTGCTCAGCCCTTTCCTGTACTCACTGTATACATATGACTGCATATCCTCAAATCCATCTAACACCATAATAAAGTTTGCAGACGACACAATAGTATTGGGGTTTATAACTGGAGGGGATGAATCAGCATATGGGGAAGAAGTCCAGAAGGTATCCATATGGTGTTCAAAAACAACTTACATCTAAATGTAAGTTGCAAGACAAAGGAGATGGTGCTAGATTTCTGGAAGCACAGAGGAACCTGCCCCACTGTATATTGAGGGTGTGTGTGTGGAGAGGGTTTCCTCTTTTAAATTATTGGGAGTGCTCATTAGTCAAGCTCTCACCTGGAAAAGCCACACATCCCTGATAGTTAGTAAGACAGAGACTTCATTTCCTTAGAGTCCCGCAGAAAAATCAGGTGGAACAATGGCTAATGACGTCTTTCTATCGGTCTACGATAGAAAGTGTCCTCACATAATGTATAACAATATGGTATGCTGGTCTAATAGCTGCGGACAGGAAGGCACTAGTGAGTGATCAATTTGGCACAAGAAACCATTGGTTGCCGTCTAACACCATTAGATGACATTGCCAAGTCTCACTGTTTCAGCGGAGTAAGGAAGATACTTAGGGATGATTCACACCCTGGCCAGTGTCTCTTTTCGCTTTTACCATCGGGCAGAAGATATCGAAGCATAGCCAGCCGGACAAACAGGTTTAAAAACAGCTTCTACCCATGGGCTGCCAGACTCTTAAACACAATCACAATCACTCCACACACACATGGAAACGTATGACTAGTCTTTCCCCCCCAAATTACATGTATAGGGATTATTCTCTATACTATTTATGTTGTTTTGTATTTTCTGTTATGGATTGCACCAGAGGCTAAACCAATTTCATTGTATATATGATATACTGTACAATGACAATAAAGGCTAGGCTAGGCTAGGCTAGGCTAGGCTATACTACACTACACTACTATACTACACACTATACAATGACCACAAAAATGACAATCAATCATGCCCTTCCTTCATGCAGTTATGTTGACAGACTATTTACCAAGGACCATAGGCAGGTGTGCCAGAAACTGGAAGACCAGGTGACCAGCATGCCGGAAACTGGAAGCTCAACTTCCATGCGTGCACGGGAACTGGTTTTCTGCGCTCCCGCGCGTGCACACCAAGGAGTTGCTCTTCCGGTTTCAGCACGCTCCCATTTTGGCATTCGGTGTCTAAAAGGTTCGCCAACACCACTCTAAAACATTTTTAAATGTGAATACTCCAGATACTCCAAAAATACTATGGAATGAATTACATTTGTAAAAGTTAAGCTATATCATAGATTCAGGTTCTTGCCTTATAATTGTTACTAGACAACCCATGATTCACTGAGTCATCATTTCATATATTTCCTTACCAGATTCTTCAATGCCTTCAATAATGGCAGCTTCTAATGTAGTTGAAAAGTTCTTAAAAATTTAGGGAGATATTCAGAGATGTATCTGCCTTGAAAGTGGTCCCTGTTGGACTGTAGAATATCAGTTGACCACAAGAAAGTTTAATCACAATTTGTATTATATCATAAACTTTTATAATAATTTTAGATCATATTTTATAAAATTTGCCAAATTTCAATTTCATGGCAGTCATGATTCTTGATTTTTGGACACATTTGGTAAGTTAGCTCATTTGAGGTATCTTGGTTGAACAAGTTTTGGCTCCCCAGGTTTGAAAGGTAGAATTTTCAAATTTTGTTGAGCTAATTAACCAACCCTAGTTTGGGTGTGTGGACTGGCACTGGGGATGCTCGGGTTCAAATTCACTTTGGCAATTTGCAAGTTAACTGGGAAACTAATTTACCAGGTTGTGGGGTAAAATGGAAAATGGGAGGAGTGCTATGCCACTTTGACTCCTGAAGGAAAGGTGGGATATAAATTAACAAGCTAATAAAAATACAGAATAGTATATGTAAAATACTATTAAAAATAGATTACAATAATTATAAAATGCAATCCAAAATAAAGTAAAATGTATTACTATAGGTAGTCCTTGCTTAGCAAGCGTTCAGTGAAAACTGTAATGAAAAACTTTTATGACCAATTTTGCCTTTATGATCTTTGTAGATCTGAAAAGCAAAGGAAAGCTGAAGATCATAAGCACAGGCAGGTTTCAAGTAGAATTGCTTCATCTAAATGACCTAGTTTTCAGTCCCAATTGTAGGTAAAGGAGGACTATCTGTACATATCACATTGTGTTGCTGAACTCAGCCAGTATGCTTGGCTTGTACTTCAAAGTGTTATTTAAGTGGAGAATTTAGAGTTGAATAGACTATGGTTAAATAGACTACAGACAGACATTGTGTGACTGTAGCCAGAGAAAAGCACTTTACTTCAGGGATAGTTTTCAGTAACCTGAAAGGCCCAAGCTCTGTGACCATTTCCCCCAAACCTCTAGGGGAAAAAAAGCTGAAATCCTGTGTCTTGTTTTTTGTTTTTGTATTGCTGTTTTGTTTTAAATATTTTTAGCAATTGTAAACCATCCAGTGTGTCTGGGAGTCAGGTGGCATATAAATTTAATAAGCTTATGATGATGATCTTCCTTGAAAGCAGGTCACACAGAACAAACACAATATGGCCCACAGAGCAGACAACCGCATTGCACAGGAAAGAGTTAAAAACCTCAGTGCTCTATTAAAGAAAAGCGTTTTTTTTTTCCTATTGGGATTGAATTACTAATTTCACAATAAAATGAAAGGCTTTGCTGGAGAAGACGGAAGAGCTGGTGTGAAAGGGAGGGGGGGGGATGCTTTCTCTTCCATCGAGGCTGCCCCAAGAGTTCGAGTCCCACCGCTAAAGCTAATGGCATACGTAGGTGCCATTCGTTCAAACGACTTAAGAGACTTCCTCCCTCGGCTGTTAAGGAAGAGATGCGCGCGCGTTATTCAATCGCCTCTCTTCGGCTTCGACGCTTTTCCCCTCCCTGAGCTGCCTTTAGCCAGGCCGCCCTGGCGACGAACAACCTTGGGTGGTGAGGAGGGCTCTAGGACCCAGGGGAACACGGGCAGCCGGGCTCTGGGAGCCAGATTGCAAATTCTTCTCCGTGACTCAGTCGGCTCCGCGCAGCGCATAGTAGGCGGCAGCGGCAGCCGAAGCGGAGACTACGGAACAGCAGGTCCGTCCGGCTCGCGGGAACAACGGGTCGCTCTTAAGAGGAGGGGGGGGGGGGGGGCGGCGGCGGCTGGGCGTGGGTAACGAAGAGGACCGGAAGGACCGGGCGCCGCGCTTCCCTTCTAGCTCGGGCCTAGCGTCACCCGCCGCGACTGCCGCTAACGGCGGCTCCTGCCTCCTGTTGTCTTTGCAGAGCGCCAAGATGGAGTACGAGTGGAAACCCGACGAGCAGGGGCTTCAGCAGATTCTGCAGCTGCTCAAAGAATCGCAGTCCCCGGACACTACAACGCAGAGAGCCGTGCAACAAGTATCCTGCACAAGAGAGCCGGGCAGGGCGAATGAGCGAGCGGGCGGGCGGCCGGGGGCCGGCACCGGAGAGAGAGCGAGGCCCAGCGCCTGGGTCGGTTTGCCGCATGACTCCGACTCCGCAGGAGGCGGGGAAGGAAGAGCTTAAGACGGCAAAGCGGTCCGCTCCGCTTTGTCGTTTCGGGGTGAGGGAGAGGAGGGTTAAAGCCCTGGAGAGGATAACGCCTCTGGGCCTCCGCTAAGGCGACCGACCGTAGCGGTAATCCAGGCCCAGCCTCCGCCTGGCCTGGCGCGGGCTTTGAATCGCGAAGGAAGCCTGTAGGCGGCGGCGGTGGTAAAGCCTTCGCTCTGCCTCCCCCTCCCTGCGCCCAGGCCCGGCACCTGTTGCGAGTCTGGCGCCAAACCCCGTTTTCCTTTCCAAGGCTTCGCCCGCCTTTAGCAGCTCCGGTGTCGGTCGCTTTCCCAGGCTCGCTCTCGACCATTATTATCCCTGGGCCTGTGTCTCGGGCTGGCCTTAGTGGAGCGGTAGATCCGGCCATCTGTGCCATTGAATTCCTTTCGGAAAATCCCAACTGGCTCCTTTTCTCTCGAATGATCCTTGTCGATCGTTTAGAAACCCGGCAGAATAAGTCTTTTGTACCCTTAGCTATCTCTTTCTTTTGAGACATTTTAACGTATATCATTCTTGGCCATCTGTGAGGTTCTTATGGTTGGCCCTTCAATTTCATACTGGATCATATTCAGGATAAGGAAAATAATAAACGAATTTTTAGGCTTTTTAAATTGTTTTCTTTTGGTGCATTGAGTCTGAAGGCAATAGAGAAGTGAGTGAAGTGTTAAGTTTCTGTATATAGAAAATAGTTGTAAACTCTGCCTAGCTTTTGGTAAATGCTGAAAGTATTCACATCAAAAAAGCTTGCTGTTATTTGTTTCAGACTTGTAGTTTTTACACGTTGGTGAGTGCTATAATGAATGTGCGTGTGTATGTAGAATTTTAGGTTCTAAATTGTTTTTGCTGCTCCGTGAGGTAGATTTTGGTACAAACTAGATGTAAATGCCTCTTCTGTATCAGTAATTATACTGTGCATTTGTTTGTGTGTGCATTTTTTAAAGCCAGGTAGTTTAATTAAAAAAAAAGATTTAAATGCTAATTAGGGCATCTTTGAATTTTTAGTTTTTACTCCTGCTAAATGAAATTCCATTTGAATAATCTCACATCCTAAAGAAGTAGTTTAAAATGAAATTTAAGTGTAAATATGAGATTGTGAATACATAGGAAAATACAAAATATAAAAATACCATCTAGTCATTCTCCCATATCATATGGTATGACTTATTTACCATTTTTCTTTTTCTAGCATGTATTCCTTAGGCTGTTGATGGGAATACAAAATTAATAGGATTTTGCAAAGATTCAGAAGAGATGCTTTACAGTATGCTTATTAAAATGCTTGTGCCTGCATAACCATATGAGGAAAGCTGGAAGAACTGTTAAAACAACTTTGCCAAAGACATGGCTGCTTTAAAGATCTAAAGAAAAGCAATTTATTTGCACTCCTGTGTCATTTCTTTTGAATGCGGTGCATGACCATACATTTTTTTAAGTTTCCTAAATTTCTCTTACTTTATGTAAAGTACAATATAGATAGTTGATTTTACTGTTGGGTAAAGTACTGTTTTTTACTTTTTAATTTAATCATCCCAGCATATATCTTGAAAAAGAATCTTTCTTAGCAGTTTTATATTTACTGAGTTTTATATAAGTAGTGCTCAACTTAAAACCATTTGTTTGGTGACCATTCAAAGTTACAATGGCATTAAAAAAAACAGTTTTCACATTTATGACCATTGCATCATCCGCATGGTCATGTGATCAAAATTTGGATGCTTGGCAACAAATTTTGCTTATGATAATGATGCTTATGACAGTTGCACTATCCCAGGATAGCAATTAGACTTAGACGTACATACCGCTTCATCATGAGATCATTAGATCATTGTAACCTTCCCACCTGGCTTCAGACAAGCAAATACAATGGGGGAAACAAGAATCATTTAACAACTGAATGTTTCACTTAATAACTACAGTGATTTGCTTAATAACTATAGCAAAAATTTGAAAAATCGGATGTGACTCACTTAAAACCATCTTGCCTAACAGTGGAAATTCTGGTTCCAATTGTGGTTGTAAGAAGAAAATTACCTACATAGCTAAATTTTGTTTAAATGGATATTTTATTATTATAATATTAAATTGCCACCTATGTCACCTTAAGACTACTCTAGGTGGCTAACAACAATAAAAACACAAAGTAATAAAAAAGAAATTTAAAGAAAGTGAAAATAAATTAATAGAATAATAAATAAAAAGAAAATAAAGAAAATACATCAATATAGTTAATAAAAAAGGTGAATGAATAGGAAGCAGAGAATGGAGAGGGGAAATGGAGCCTGTTGTCACATGCCCATAACAATGCATTTATTCATTGAAGGACTGCAGTGTTCGCATAACGACCACAGGTTTGCTTAAGGATTGCTTCAAAAAAGGTCATAAAAATTGGGTCAGTTGCGTGGGTGCCTCAACTTAAAAACCATAACTTAATGACAGTAATTCTGGGTTTCATTACAGTCTTTAAGTTCAGGACTATATCTGTATTCTAGAAATAGCTTGGAATGTGTTACATGTCATATGCCCCGTTTAAAAAAAAAACTATGACTGTCAGATATGTTGACAAAGCATATTCTACCCCTTGATTATTTAACATAGCGAGGGCCTGGTAGGCCATATAGCAGACCATGCTCTCAAGCAATCTTTTGTCAGGATACTTTGTTACTAAAACCCAGACCTCAAATATTTTATAGTAGACTTGTCTTGAATCCAACCTATTTGCTAGACTGCTTTTCTCCTTTGATTTAGAGCAGCTTATTTCTGTATTTTGAATTGCTTATCAATTGAAAAATTACACTTTATTGTCTGCAGTTTACTGTCATAGAAGACATGCTCTACCTGTTTTTTATCCACATGCTGGATTTATACAACTATTATAAGTCATAGTGTGATTTGCTTGGTTTGGGTTTAGCATATTAATGGAATCTTGTCTATTATATTTTGTAATCCAATAGATATATATCAGTTATTTGTAGTTGAATACAACCAAGCTAGTTCAGTATTTAAACCCAATCTATGTTTTTAAAGAGATGTTTGATATGCTATTGTATAAGAGAAAGTTGCAATGCCTTTTCTTTCTGGTGTCATGGTTCAGAAAATACTGTAATCTATATGTATGTTATAAATACACACATTGATGTCTGCTCCAAAGTAACTTCATTTGAATTCTCACTTTTGTAAGGCTGTATAGAATCACAGCATTTAAGTTAGCACAGCATTTTATCAAGTTAGACTTTATGTAAAAGACTAGCTTGCTTTATTTTTGAATTTCAGATAGTAATTTTAGATATTTACTTAGCCTTGCTGAATACAGCTATGATAATATAAGTAGATTGCAGCATAGAGTTATATGATAATTCAGTATATGAACATCATGGAATGTAAACAAAATGTAAACTTTATTAACATTTACAGAGTTCCTCCTGGTACAGAGTGTCTGTACCAGGAGGCAATTAAGAATCAGTTTGTTACACTTTACTACTAACATTTGAAAATAATGTATTACAGGAGATAGATTGATATTATTTATATTAAATTCATTCTGCTTGAATGAATCTTAAATAGGAGAAGTAATTGAGAAGAATTTTATGTGCATCCAATAGAGAACAGTGCTATACTAAACAGCTGCTGTGCTGTAATGTTAAGGCATAGGATTGTCAGTGGGGAGACCCTGGTTCTAGTCTTAAGTCTGACCCATGAAAGCTGTATTGCATGTTTTTGGATTAGTCACACACTCTCAACCTAATCTATTCAGAGGATTATTATTGCACAGGGGGAGAAAGAGTTACATATATTATGTTGAATTCCTGAAGGCAAAGTGGGTTACAATGTAGTATTACAGGCTAACTCTGCCTACAACCTGAAGTTCGATCCTGACTGGCTTTAGGTTGACTCAGCCTTCCATCCTTCCCAGATCGGTAAAATGAGGACCCAAATTGTTGGGGATAATATGCTGACATTTGTAAACTGCTCAGAGAGTACTGTAAAGAACTATGGAACAGTATATAAGTGCTATTGCTATTATTAATCAATTCTTCATAGGAAAAAGAAGACGCAGAATCATTTTTGCATTCTGTTTGGAACTTTGCCATTTCTAGTGTTACTAATAGTTTTGGGATAAAAAATACCAGTCATTAGCAAGTAAGAATATATGAGATCTATTTTGAATTAGCTTTCTATAGGCAGTTCTGGTCCTGATTAAATTTGGTAATTAGATTGTTGAATTTCCAGTAGTGGTGTTTTGAAAAAAAAAAACAATTTAAATTAGTTTCACTCATATTTAATACAATTTTGCAGTGTTTCATATCTTACATGAAATACCTTTAACAAAACTTTAGAAACTGGAACAACTCAATCAGTATCCAGACTTCAACAACTACCTGATATTTGTTCTCACAAAGCTAAAAACTGAAGGTGAGTTTTATGTTAATTTTACCCAGTAATTACATAACTAGACAAATTAGGCCAGAATTTCAAAGGTCTCTAAGTACTTTATTCACCAAGTCTTCATTGATTGTTCAGTTCACCATACTAGATTCCACTAAAATATTTTTCTTTATTCTGTGAACAAGAACAATTGCTTAGAAATAAATGGAATTTATTTTCAAATAAATCTGTTTTGAATAATATAATACATGTATTGGACAGTACCATCCTGAATTCTAATAATTGTTAAAATTGTGCTAAAATATCTTTCCATTACCAGGTGTTCTAAAACCCTGGATGTAATCCAAAACCATATTGTTCCTGTTATACAATAAAATAACATTGAACCTAAGTGCTACAATTCATATCATTTGATAATGCCATCATAAAAATGTCATTTGTGTCATTTTACATAATTTGTGTAATGAATCTATGAAATAATTTGTATAATGATACAGTAATAAAAAATAAAAATGAATTAAATAGTGAAAAAATAATCCATTCCATTTGAAGATAGTCCATCAAGATCTGGTAAATTGAAATTGAAGTATGCATAATGTCTTGATTTTGAATTGGAGCTTAAAATAGCTCTTGACTTTACTGGAAGTACTGATTCTGTTGCAACCATTCTGGAAACATTTGGAGCTTCAAATGGTTGGAATATAATTTTGAACAATCCTGACGAGTGGAACAATCCATTTCAAGCTTGAAATATTATCTATGTCTCAAATTCTAAATAGAGCATTGTTTTTCAGGAGATACTGTAGTAAAAGTATATCCATTCTTTTGTGAAAACTGCCACAGAAACTGGATGTATATGCTTGGTAGTATATATGCTGTCACAGAATACCTATTTTGTTCTATTTTATAAAAATAAATTTTCTAACTTGCTATTTTTGGTATAATAATCTCACAGGTCATAGATTTTCCTATCAGGTTCCTCTATTAACATAATCTTAGGAATCCCAAAGGTGCTTTTTCAAGAGGCAAGTGGACTTTCTGGTTTTTCTTTGAAGACGTTTCGCTTCTCATCCAAGCTTCTTGGATGAGAAACGAAATGTTTTCAAAGAAAAACCAGAAAGTCCAGTTGCCACTTGAAAAAGCACCTTTGGGACAACCATGACCTGGATAACTGAGAATCTCCATAGACATAATCTTGGGAAATACTGGCAAACTTTAATATATCTATGGAGTCATACAATTTAATATTATATTGTAATATTAAATAGTGCATATTTGTGTGTGCTTGCATTTCATGAAATCAAGCATTTCACGATTTCAATTGTGCTTGCTCCTAAGTAGGTATATGGAATATATACTGTAGCCTAAATGACTTTTCTTTAAAACTTATTACAGATGAACCAACAAGATCACTAAGTGGTCTTATTTTGAAGAATAATGTCAAAGCTCACTTTCACAACTTTCCTAATGGAGTAACTGACTTCATTAAAAGTGAGTGCTTAAACAATATTGGTGATTCCTCTCCACTAATCAGAGCCACTGTAGGTGAGTCATGAATATTTATTTATATTCTGTTTCTTTATGCTAAACAAACAAATGTTAAAATACAAATGGTAACAAACAGTTTTTAAATGTGTTCTAAAGGACTGGGTCTTTTTCTTTTGTTCAAAAATAATTGTGTGGATAATAGATTGATTCAGATATAGGTATGTTAGATGGCTATTATACTATTATAATCATTATTTATTTGATATTTATTTCCAACAAATGTATTCCAAATCTTCTGCTTTTTATTTGTTTCATGATAAAAAATGTAGACAATTATTTTAGCTCCTTTAGATGTAAGATAACATGAAAATACAAATTCCTCATGCATATTATCAGAAAGAATATTTTTAATCTTAAAATATCTTCAGTATAAAAAGTTGCTTTTATTTGATACAGGATCACTGTTCTGTTTCAGGGAATATGATTTGAACATAGAAGAACCTTGAAAGAAATATATGAAAACATAGGAAAGGACTTGTTACAAACATAGATCCAAAGATTAGCTTTAATGTTGCTACCTTGGGATTTATGCTATGGTTTTCATGCAAAATCCTTATTTTTTTCCTTTATAATATTTCAACTTGGTGTCTTCCAGTCTCATTTATAATAAGGAAGTTTTAGTTTGCAATACATGAAAACCATATGTTCTCCATTCTTGTCCTAAATGAGCAACAGTATTCCTGTGTATTTGTGTCAGCAGATCCTCCTAAACATTCTACAAATTCCCAAATCTTTGGGGAAAGTGAGAGGTATTTTGGAGCAAATTTGGATAAGCATGTGGGAATAACAACAAGAAAATCCCTGTTGCACGAACAGAAATTACTTTAAATGCTTATTTCATTGCCATAATGGTTTCTACCTCCAGAATATAGACTTTGAATACCTCTGCTTATCAGTAGATGAGAAAGGCAGCTGTTGACCATTCAGATGATGTTGTATTAAATCAGCTCTATTAGCAATAGTAGAATTGGAGATATATTTGAAGGGTGAAAGTTGATCACCAAAGAACTGCCTTTGGTTGTTAGCTTCAGCCATTGAGCAGATTTTCCCATTCCCAATATTGCTTCCTTAAGTATATTCTAACCCAGGGGTATCAAACTCGATTTCATTGAGGGTCACATCAGGGTTGTGTTTGACCTTGTGTGGGGCCAGGGGGGCATGGCTAGCTCGACATCACTCATGTCAGGGGCGCCTGTGGCCCAAGGGCTTTGCCAGCAAAGATGGGCTCCTTAGCTTTGTTTTCACCTGCGACAACTTCCTGCAACTCTCTGCCAGTGAAAACAGAAAACAGTGAGCTCCGTTTTTACTGGCAAAGGCCCCATGGGTCAGTCCTTTGCTGTTTCCAGGACAGCCTCGTGGGCCGGATCTGACCCCCAGGCCTTGAGCTTGACACCCCTGTAAGTAGAATTGCATATGTCATCGACTTGTCTACTGTTAAGGTAATGTTTTATGGCTTCAAGAAATCAGAGAACAGTACAAGGACATTTTTTTGCAGATTAGCTTTCTACTCAGCTTGAATATCAGTCCATATTTATGTCTAAAATGTATATGTGTATATACATCTTTACAAACACAGACATGTTTTATGTAGTCACTTAAAGAGATAAGTTTTTAAATATTTTCTGTTGGCCATTCTGATTTATGTATTAATTTTTTATATTTTTTTAACGTTTATACTATGTGTATTTTATCTTTTGGCTGTTCACCGCCCTGAGTCCTTCGGGAGTAGGGCGGTATATAAATTTATTTTAATAATAATAATAATAATAATAATAATAATAATAATAATAATAATAATAATAATATTGTTACATTAAAGCAACTTATTATCAATAACTTTTTAAAATTTCTTCAAACAAATTCAAGGTATTTTGATTACAACCATTGCCTCAAAAGGAGAATTGCAGAACTGGCCTGAACTTTTACCAAAGCTTTGTAGCCTGCTTGATTCTGAAGACTACAATACTTGTGAGGTGAGAGTTTGCTTTTTCTAATTAAATATGTCTTTTTATTTGGAATCAGTCAACAGTGTGGTAATTATTACTTTTACTACTTTTATTTTTTTTCTATCTGTAACTGTGAGGTGGGTTGAGCTGAGAAAGAGTGACTGTATCAAAGTCACCCAGCCAGCTTTCATGCCAGAGGCAGAACTAGAACTCACTGTTTCCCAGTTTCTAGCCTGGTGCCTTATCAACTAAATCAACCTGGCTCTCAGTGATCTTTTAGAGCAGATATGGGAAGATTTTCATTTCTATTTTTTTTTCTCTAGCAACAGTGCTACTCTTCTTTGAAAATAAGAGGTATACTCTTTTTTCCACCTGTTAATGGAAATGTATGATAGGAATTAAATCATAGGCAGCTTCTCCCCAAATGGTCATAGTGTTCCATATATTATTAAGCTATTTTTGACTTTTTGGTTAACTTTCTAACAATACTTATTGAAAGAAATAAGTTGCTTTTTTTTTCTATAATGGGAAAAAGAAGAAGTAAGAAATGAAGACATAGGGGAAGAAAAACAAAATAACAGATGGAAGACCACGATGAAACAATGCTTTAAAATGATAAGATATCTATATGTTGTATGTTGTGTAAATGTCATATATGTGTTATAATAAAATTACAATTTTTTTAAAAAAAAAAGAAAAGAAAAGAAATAAGTTGCATTCGCAAGAAGAGCCCAGCTAGATTAGGGCCTAGCACCATGTTCCAATACCAGAGAGGCTTCAAAACAAGAAGAAAAAAAGCTCCCCAAAGTCCTAAAAATCTCCATAAAAGTAACAGTACTATATACATACATACGTTTTCTGCAAATAGGGGAGATCTTAGTGATTAACTAAAGAAAGCATATTGTTGTAAAAATAAACTTACTCGGCTAGAAACTGGATTGGAAACTTCATTTCTACTTCATTCCTATTTATCTATTCTTCCTTTACGTTAAAATTGTCTTGTTTGATCTTTCTGATCAAGTACTTTTTTATAAATTGTTCGGTAAATGCAACATATTCTGCCCTTGAAGATCACTTGAAAGTTACATTTGTACATTTGTACAAATGTACATTTGTAAAGTTAGATTTGTTCACCATATGATGACATACACAGTCATACACACTGTCAACATAACACGAGCTTCACTAGTTCCCAATTTTTTCCAGGAGCTGCTTGTCACTTTAAAAGACTATATCAGAGTTACCCAATCTTTTCCGGTTTTGCGGACCAGCTTTTGGGGCGGTGGGGGGACGACATGGGATGGTTTTGTGCAATGGATGGGCAAGTATGTGCGTGCACAGTTCCAAAAGGCTCAAGTCCTGGTAGTGGGCTGCAGACCAGGGGTTGGGGATCCCTGCCCTACATGATATGAGGCCAGGTTATTTGCAAGACTGCTCTTCCCTGAGAGTGTGTGCTGGCCTCACTCTGTCTGATAGGGTGGGTGTCCTTCAGGTCCTTCACTTAAATGTCACCATCTAATAGGACTTAGCATGTCTTTCTGTCTTTTCCCTGTTCTGTGGATCATTCTTCTGCTGGGGATCTGGCAATCCTCACCCTTTTAGTCTTTTGGAAGTCTGAAGAGGGTTTGTTCTTCCCCCAGGGATTGGGATCAGGTAGAATGGGAGCCTGTGGATGATTTTGTTGGAGGCATCCAAGTGAGATGGCTAAGTGCCTTTTTCTTTTGGTTTTATACTTTTTATAGTTTTATTGTTTCTTTTGGTTTTTATTGTTTCTTTTATTGTTGTTTTGACCTGTTTAGAATTCTGTTATAAGAGGGGTAGCCATAGAGATCTTTTAAGTAAATAAGATGTCAGCTGTATTTGGAATTCAGCATGCAGTGAGAAAAGGAGGTAAAATTTGAAAGTGATGATGAGTCTGATTATATAAATATCAAAAAAGAAAAAAAATATCTTGTAGGGTGCATTTGGAGCTCTTCAGAAGATCTGTGAAGATTCAGCTGAAATCTTAGACAGTGATGCTTTAGATCGTCCCCTTAATATCATGATCCCTAAGTTTCTACAATTCTTCAAACATAGCAGTCCAAAAATAAGGTAAGAAATAAAGTTTTCTAGTCAATTCTTTGAAAAGCTTTCAGGGAAGCATTTTAAAGATAGCTAACATGAGAGTACTGTTGAAATTTATTTTCGTTTCTGCAATCATCCATTTACACACAACTCTGGGTTGTTTACAAAGGTTGAAAAAATAATAGGAATCAATTAAAGCACAAATAGATATCGCTAGGCCAAGCAAACCAAGTAGTGGGCTGAAAGACCTATGGAATAAGCAGGGTCTTCAAGGCTCTTTTGAAGGCAGACCGGCACAAGGCTACATAGACCTTGGAGGAAAGGTATTCTAGAGGGCAGTCTCCACAACAGAAAAAGCATCCTCATGTGTAGATGACATTTTTAAAATAGATGGGACCTTAATGCCTACCCTGTTGGATCTTACCAAATGGGCAGAGACAATTGGAGACAGGTGATCTTGAAATATCCATGCCCTGTGTTGTGCAGAGCTTTTTAGATGGTAATCAGCACTTTGAATTGCACTCAGAAACCCAATAATAACCTATACATTTTTCCTAGCAAGAGTTATTTTCTTTGCATAATCTGATTTACTTTAATCTAGGTTTGTGGCCTTGAATATAATTCTTTGCTTTTACTTTTCAGATCTTGACACATTGTGAAAAAATTCCTTTCTATTGACTTAACTGTAGATATTTTTTTCTGAACTGGAAAAGTCATTTCTTTATTGTCTTTAAGACAGTTCGTGTGTCACAAGTTATTCTTGTGACATGTGATATTGAACTTTTTACCTGAAAGGTGTCTAAATTTTGCATTCTGGATATTATCAGTCAGTAATATTTTGAACTTTAGATGACAGCACTTACCATTTTACTAGCCCTTAGAGATCAATAAATACTTGATAAAAGGGAAGGTATCCAACCAGAGTTTGTTCTACTAAGGAAGTCTAATATCATAGAGGTGTTCTCCTAATAACAGTATGGCTATACTACTACAAGTAGTCCTTGAATTACAACAGTAATTAGGCTTGGTATTTCCATCGTTAAGCATATAAATTTAATACAGAAATAAGATGCAAAGAAGTATGACATATGATGGTTGCTTCACTTAGCAACCACAATTCCAGGAATTTTCATTGCTGTTGTTAGTTGAATTTCATTGGTCATTACCCAAGGACAAACCAGAATCCAAGCTTTTTCACGCTTAGTCCCTCCCAAGGCCTGAGCTTCAGTTTTTTCCAAGATAAGGATTGCCTCGCCTTCCACTCGCCTTAACTGCCTATTTCCCCCATCTATGCATTTTTGGCTGCCCTGCACCTTGCCTTACAGGGCAGCAAACAGCACCAGAATTTAATGGCTGTGGTTATGTTTGCCACTCTGCAACTCAGGCTTCTTGGCTCACTGCAGTTCTGGGGCTGCAAAAAACTCCTGAGCCACAGTACAAAGCCACAGCCATCCCTGGAAGCGTCACCTGCCTCAGCCCGACCCAATAGCATGGTGTGTGCAGCTACTTTAGGAAGCCCCAGCCTGTCCCAGCAAAGTAGTGCAGAGCTGCAGCCACAGCCCAATGCCTCTGCTGATAAGGCATGCTTGCCCTGGCCCTTTGTGAGGCAGCAGCTGCTTTATGAAGGGCCAGGCTAGGCATGCTTGTCAGCAATAGGAGCAAGAAGACTGTGAAGATCAGCTAGGGTGGCAGGGGCCATGAAGTGCAGGGTACTGAAAGAGCCTAAATAGAGCAAGAAGATAGGGGGGTGGGGAAGTTTAAGGGGACCTAAGTGTGGGCAGGCTACCAAGTGCCCAAATTTTGATCACATGGCCACAGGTTGCTGCAATGGTTGTAACTTCAGGGACTGGTTGTAACTCCCTCATTCAGCGCTACCGTAAGTTTGGCCACTGAACAAATGACCGTTAAGTGAAAACTACCTATATAACTAATAAGACTGTTTTTGACATTTCTGAAGCTTCCAGATATGCAATATACCCACATGCTTTATTCATAATATTAAATAGCAAGTTATTTTTCCCTTTGCAAAGAGATTGATGTTGAGTTTAATTCTAAGTAATGGTAAATTTATTTCTTCAACTTTTTACAGTAATGTATAATTTTTTTTAACATGTTTATAGGTCCCATGCGGTTGCTTGTGTCAATCAGTTTATCATCAGTAGAACTCAAGCCCTTATGCTGCACATTGATGGATTTATTGAGGTGGGTGATTCATATTTGAATCATATTTGTACCTCTTGCGGATATTTATGATGAATTTCTCTTTTTCTGAATGCCATTTTCCATTGCTTCAAAATAGTCCCATTTGGATTGAAGGCAAGTGGACAATAATATTTCTTTTTTTTTCCTTGATAAAGTGTGGCAACAATTACAAAAAAACCTACTTAAAAAACCTGAGCCAATAATTATAAAAATTGAGAATTTTCTTTCAGTTAATAATTGAGTTGTTTTTCAGATATTTCTAGGGCCCAACTTTTCTGACTTTTTATTAATGTCTAGCCAAACAAATGGCCTAAATAGTATCCATTTCTCTGACTTCCGGCTATGCTGGTGTCTGGTTGATGAGGGTAATAAAGGTAACATCATTTTGTCTAGTTTTAAACTTCCTATTCTCTGTCCTGGCAGGATTGATTGGTATAGCTGTTTGCTTGTAAATAAATGTGTCTGCAATACATAACAACCACTTTTATTTGTAATTAGCTGATCTGAATGATGTTAAACATTAGAAGAGACAAAGCTTCCTATATAAATTAATATAGTTCTGTCTCATCTAAAAGTATCTAACCTGAGAAAGCTTTAGTCATGGTTTAGATTTTATTATGTTTATAATGCAATAAAAATGTCTGCATTGTTGAATTAAAAGAATAAATATTGGTCTGCAACAGTGAGGTCTAGAAAACTTTTAAGTCCATCATTTTTTCCAAATAACATAGACCACTGAAAGAATCATGTTGGTAATATGAATTTTAGTTCATAGTTCGTTTATCTTTCTCTCTTTTTTTCTTTCTCTCTCTCTGTGTCTCTCTCTCTCTCTCCCTCCCTCCCTCTGTCTCTCCATCTATCCACCTGCCCGTCCTTCCATCTGTCCATTAAACCCTTCTGTTCTTGTTTTTTTGATTCCCCTTTAACAGAATCTGTTTGCATTGGCTGGGGATGAGGAGCCTGAAGTACGTAAAAATGTTTGTCGGGCTCTGGTAATGCTTCTGGAAGTTAGAATGGACCGTTTACTTCCTCATATGATTAGTATTGTTGAGGTAACATTTTGCATGTATTTTATAAAATGTTTTAGGATAATAACATTCTTTGAATTAGAGATTTTTGGCAGATGCAACTTTTCCATTATTAAATATATCAAAATGCTTGAAAACCAAATTTGTAATTCAGAATTATTTCTTAATGTCCTACTTACATTTGCCTATTAGTCTATTTTCTCTTAAGAGCACATAAATGTATCTGTTGTGTATTGCTTTAGTATACAGCACAAAAGTATATAAAAAGAATATAAAATCAGTCATTTTTCAAATAGTGTTAATCACAAAGTCATTTCATAAGCAGACAGTAATATATCTAATTACTAGTAATTACTAATTACTATTACTAATCTAATATTGTAAATCCAAATTGCCCTTATCTTTCCATCATAAGAGAATTATTTGCTATAACCTGTAATAAGTAAATCCATAGTTCTTCCTTGATTCTTTCTACTACATCATTCAAAATCACATTCATATCTTTTCCTTCCCAAAACCACATGGAAATAAAAAATAAGAAACCAAAATAAGATGATAGTGAAGCAGTCCCATAGCAAGTGATGTGTCCATCATTTTCTTCTTCCAGTATAACGAAGTTGACTGCTTCAGACATTTTCTGAGATGTCCAATAAATATATTTTGTTAACTAAAGTTCATCTTAAATTCATTATAAGTATATGCCATATTCTTTAAAATCCGTAATCAATGCTCAAAATGCAGTATTTATATAATTTATTTCAAATATTTGCAGATAATTTTGTACACCTTAGCAATACATTTTAATCCTGCCCCCACTCCCAGCGAGATGAACGGCAAACAAATTTGAAGAAAAAAGGAAATGTATTGTGTAAAAATGAGTTTCTTGTTAAAGATATAGCATCAGGTTTATACTGTCAGTTTAATAAATATTGTTTTCTCTTGGAAGGACCCTAAGTATGATATCTGAAAAAAATCTGCATGTAAAAAACTAATTTGCTGTATTTTGTGGAAAAAGAGAATTTTCATGTCAGAATTCTGAAATCACATGCACACACACACACACACACACACACACACACACACAAGCTGTAAAGAACCCCAAAAAAAGAAATAGGAAAAGAGAATATTGTTATTAGGACATCAGATCCTCTATTTTCAGTGTCTTCCAATAATTACATAGAATGAAAATACCGAGTAGGAACTATCTCCAAAGCAAAGGTGACTCATCTCCTTCTAGAAAATAAAAAAATAACACATTGGATAAGACCTATGTCATTATTTCAAATGATTCCAAAATAGTAAAATTTATACAGCTTCTGCATCAAAACATTTCATCCTGGAATCCAAGAATAAACAATAAGAATAGTAATACAAGAAGAAGAAGATTTCCCCCCTTTTGGTTAAATACCAAATGAGTTTTACTAAATAAGTTCCCCTACTGAACTCATTTTCTGAGGCAGATTCGGAAAATTCTTTCTCTCTTTTACATTCTGTTCCCAAACTACTTTCCAAGTTCAACTCAGAACATGATCCTGTACTTCTCAAACATCTAAGAATAAGACAAAGTCTTTCTACAGAATGGGAATGCAAACTGATAGGGAATCAATTTCAATTAGATGCTACATCAGTTGCAATAAAAACAATTCTTATGCCTAGTTGTAATCCTCTACTTATAACTAGTGACTGTTCAAAGTTACAACGGACTTCGCTGGAGGTACTTAAGTCAAGATTTGAAATTATGATGGCCAGACACACATATATACACACACACAGTCATTTGCAGCATCCCGTGCTTATGTGCCCATGTTTTACGGCAGATTTGCTACAAACTGGAATTCCTGTTTTTGGCAAAACTGGTCCATACCAAATCATTGGTTTGCTTAATGACCATTGCTGAAAATGTTGCAAAATCAGGTGAGTCAGGTGACTAACCTGATCTACCACTGTCACTACTTAAGACTAATAGTTCCATTATGGTCGTAACTCGAAGAGTATGTGTACATTTATTTATAACTAGCTGAATACCCGTGCTCCATTACGAAACTATGTGATTGGGCTTGATAAATCGACACAGCTTGAAAATTAATGAGTAGTTAAGATCGGCCTCTCCTCCCCTTCTCTTCCTCAGCCTTGCCCCACAGAAGCCTATTCTATCCTATCCCCCTTCAACATTACACGTTGTTACTGTGAATACGCAGATTTAAATACTGCCTGCACGTTGTCTCATGCTTTATTTTTAACATATTAGATTGCAGCAAAAAACCTTGTTGTGAGCTAAGCCATAGTTAGTTATAGCCTGCAGTGATCAGCAATCATTTCTGTAACCACAGCAATTAGGTTTTTAATTATTAGTGGCAACGTTCTGAAAATAGATGGCTGCTTTATATTAAGGTTGATGAAAAATTCATTTAATTTGTGTGTTTTAAGATAAACATTCCTAACTTGCTATATTGAAATACAACTAAAAATCCATTTACATTTCAGTATGTGGGTTTATCTGATCGTACAGTGAGGTTCTGCTGTCAAAAATTAAAACTATCTTTTGGAGAACTGTAAAGAAAACATTACATCAAATACTGTACAAACCGCATTATATTAATAAAATTATTTGCAACAAATGGGCATGCTTTGCAATTTTATATAAAATGTGCATAAAAACAATGTTTGTGACAAAACACAATTTTTCTTGCAAATTTTAAAAACTATTCTTAGTTGGAAATTGGACAAATTCTACTTGAGTTTAAAAAGTGAAAAGCTGAGGAAACAAATACTGACCTATATGAGAACCAGTACAAAACACTCCACTTTTCAAACTTCATAATGTAATAATAGCAGGCAGTCAAGAAAATCAGTTTTTAATATACTAAATATTTAAAAATTACCAATACAGTACAGGGCACGTGTGGTATTTATTCAATAATAAGATGTGGGAGTCTAGGAAAACAACAAACAATACTGATTGCTGTTTCTAGGAGAATTGGCAGAATTCTGAAAAAAAAGTTTTATTAAATATTGAGGAATTGGAGAGTGAATGCCAAAATATTATTCTACTAAGACAAATTTGCATAAGGCAAAAGAGCTGTATTTTAAGCAGCCAGAATATAGAGAAAAATATTTATGATCTATAGTTATTCATATATTAAAAACCCATTTTTCAAATTATCCCTATGATAATAGAATGTTATATGAAAGGATTTTAATTACATTGTATTTTCAAATGTACCCAGTTTCTGTTTCTTTTTACTTTCTTGCCATAATATGTAGTACATGCTGCAAAGAACTCAGGACCAAGATGAAAATGTGGCTTTGGAAGCTTGTGAATTCTGGCTGACTTTGGCTGAACAGCCAATTTGTAAAGATGTATTGTATCGGCATCTTACAAAGTAAGTTTATTTTCCTCTTAATATTATATTGGCTTATTTGAAATATATGTGCACGTTTATCTCATTATGTCTTTAAAAACTCTTAAAATTGTTTCATGAATCTTGTGTAGTCATTATTTGGAACATTTAAATTGAGATGGTAATTGTACCTATGTACTTATCCATGGACACATAATAACTTGACACATATTTTTGCATGCTAATAGTTTTTATGAAAGTTGGAAAAGCCAGTAATATCAGTGAGAACTTTCATGTGGCACAATCAGGGGAATGTCTGTTTCTCCATGAAAACACTTCATGCTTTTTCCATACTGTATAACACAACTGCAGACCATTTAACCCTTGTTTGTTTTAAAATGTCTGTGTTTTATAAACTGAATGTAATTGCTTCTTTTGTCCAGGGAAAGAAGACCTATTTGTAAGGGAGTCAAATTTTCTTTTACCATTTATTTAGCAAATGTGTGATTCCTGGTGGTTAACAGTATAAATAAATTCTCAATCAAACATAACAGGAAATACAATAAAGCCAAAGTATCCATTTCCTTCTTTCTCTGAAAGCTCTCCAGGACAATTCCATCTTTATTAGTTGTTGGAAAACCATTGGATAGAATACATGATAGCTGGCCCCAGGAAGAGATGGGGGCCATCACTGAAACTCCTGTTGCTGCACCCTACTTTTCTAAAATGGTGGATTCATTAATAATTTATGCAGCAAGAAGTATATTAGAAAGATTAATTTAAAAGAAATTATCCTGAAAACAACTGATAGCCAAGCTTTACATGGATATATAAATTAAAACTAGCACTTTGAATTGCATCTATCAACTAATTAGAAGCAAATACGGGGCCTGCAACATGCAGCTAAATTACTATGATTGCTATTGCGCACTAGGTATAGTCCATTTGACTGTGATATGTATGTATGTATGTGTATCTATGCATATGTATAATCAAAGAAACATTTTAGTATCCTGAAATGGCATCCAGTGGAATATTTTACATTTCAAATATTCTAAAAGTGATAGCTCATGATTTTAAAACATGCTAATTTTAATTTGATTTAAAATAAACCCATGTCTTTTAGAAATCCAGGCTCAAATCTTTGACTATTAAAGTGAGCAGACATTATCTCAGCATTTTCTCTTAAATAATTTGCATGGGTTTGATTGGTATTTGAAAATTTTAAAGAATGTGAATTCCTGCTTATACAGCTTTAGGAATTGATATTCCATTATTTAATTATTATTTTTTTATGTAGGTTGATACCTGTCCTTGTAAATGGTATGAAATATTCAGAAATAGATATCATTCTGCTGAAGGTAGGAATAACTATACTTTGCCTCCAATACCCATGATTTTTTAAAATTAAGCAAAATGCATGTTTCAGTACAGAGCTATATCCATTTTCTTTGAAATTAGCACCTATATATACCCAATAAAACAATATCTTCTGAAAAGATATTGTTGTACTTAGAAGTTAATAACTTCTGAACAAAATACATGATTCTGTGATTTTCTAAGTGAACCAAAGCTGAGATAGCTTCTATGTGATAAAAAGTTAAACCAATATCTGTCAATTTGATTGCATACTTGTTTTTTAGTTACAGTTTCTTACAAATACAAAATACAAAATTATATACTATGTACAGGTTGTGCCAATTTTGATTCATTTAGAGATTATCAAAAGTATATAATCTGACCAGGTTATCCAAATTTTTGCCTATAACTAAGTGTAGAATTGTATTATTAATAATTATTTTGGTAAGTTATTTGCTACTTTCTACTTCTTAACCATTACAAATTTACACATACATTTGGTGTTTTAACTGAGCATATAAAAGTTTTTTTTTTTTTTTTTAAAGTTTGATATAGCATAGAAAGGGCCAGGGTATTGCTGAAACATCTCTTTCTCTTTATATTTTGCTCTTTGGTTTGATAATAGGGAGATGTTGAGGAAGATGAAGCAATTCCAGATAGTGAACAAGATATAAGGCCTCGGTTTCACCGTTCACGAACAGTAGCTCAGCAACATGAAGAAGATGGTATTGAAGAAGAGGAAGACGAGGAAGATGAGCTTGATGATGATGACACTATTTCTGACTGGAATTTAAGTATGCCACTTTTCCAGCTGAAATAATGTAAAACTTATGAATATATCTGTGTATCATATTAAGAATTGTTCAGAAGTTAACTATGTTACATGGTTGCATTGTATATGAGATTTGGGTGCCATGATCTTGTTTATATTTAATGCCCCAACTCTTCCCCGAATTAAGGGATTACAGAGTTGTAATTGTTGCTTGCATTATATACTGTCCAGATTTATATTAGTAAGATAGGTAACTGATCGATAAATAAACAAAATATTGATTGCAAAGTTATAAGGGTTTAAACTCTCTTAACAAAAAAATCTGGAGCACTTTTCCCAACTACAATATTTAAAAGACATGTGCTTATGCACTTTTTTCTTGTCATTTAATAAAATGTGGTAGTTTGAAAATGGGCTACCAGACTCCTTCTGAATGTTTTGCCAGCATAGACAAACATACTTCCTCATACAGTGTTTAGAATAGCAGATTGATTTTAAGTCCTTCGTATTTTATTCTTTGTTACAATTTCTTCATAATTTTCAACAAATAGCAAATTTGCTAATACTGCAAAATGAAGTGGAGGGAGGTTTTGAAAGCATTAATAGATCATACAAAAATATATGTTACTTTTCTTTAGGGAAATGTTCAGCTGCTGCCCTTGATGTTCTTGCCAATGTATTCCGTGATGACCTGCTGCCACATATTTTGCCCCTTCTAAAAGAATTGCTTTTTCATCCAGAATGGGTGGTGAAAGAATCAGGCATCCTTGTTCTAGGAGCAATTGCTGAAGGTAAATGATGTTTGAGGTTCATGTTGTACTTCGTTACTATTCATAGTGTGAAAGAAACTATGATAAATCTAAACATGATGCATCACACAGAACATATTCCTGCTGCAAGAAATATGAGAATGAGACATGCAAGAATAAGTGATGTGATGGCTTCATTTATATGTAATACATAAAATTTAATAACACTTTAGTGAGATACTAGAGAGATAATTCTAAATCTACCTGGAAGAAATTTGAAAAAGTTATTGTGGATAACTAGACTCATTCTAAAATACCAGTTTGTACAGTTATAGAGCTTCTTAGGTACATGGAATGTCTTCTATTTTAAATTACACTCCCCTACGCACATGCGCCATTGCCCCCATCCCAGATACCTTGGTGAAAACAATAAGTGTTGGAGAAGGACAACCAAATATACCTGGGTTATTGTGGCTCTTGGCTGCAGTTTGGCTGCTTTTGTTTGCTGCCAGTTGAGCACAAAAGAGAAGGAGGCAAATTCTCTGATGGTTGAATTGATACATGCGTGTTTATTTAGATTTGAGTGAATGTGCAAAGTGATGTGTAAGTGAGAAGGGAATGAGTTACGATGAGAGAGAAAAAGGATGGTTTTGGCATTTTCCTCATCAGTACTGGTGTTCCTGTCCTTATCTTTTGCTCAGGAATGTGCAAAACACTTGAGAAATAATATAGGCCTCCTCCAGACTGTGCTTATTGCCAGCTCTTCCTGACAAGGAAGGGCTCTTTAATAATGATGTTCTCTATGGTCCCTTTTGTAAGAAATACCCACCTTAGTCAAAAGATGAGTCCCCACTTAGTTTAATCTAGCAAGAGAAGTTAAGACTCATTTCTCTAAATACTGTGTGCATTCTAAAGTCTAGAAGCAGGAAAAAAATAGGGGAAGTAATTTTGTTTCTTTCCAATTCCACATCAGAATTATTTTTAACTAGGTTATTTTTCAGTATCTTGATCCTTTGTTGAAGGTATTAATAAATATAATTGTAATGGATTAATATGGGTTAATATATTTTTTTCATTCTGTTCAGTCATGTCTGATTCTCAGACACAGCATGGACAGGTCCCTGCAATTTTCTTGGCAGGCTTTTTCAGAAGTGATTTATCATTGCTCCTTTCCTAGGGCTGAGAGAAAATGACTAGGCTAAGATTACCCAGCTGGTTTTTGTTCTTAAACTGGGATTAGAATTTGCAACTCTGCAAGCTAACAACCAACTTACTTTCTAACTGATGATGCAAAAATGTGAACAGTGACCCCTTACAGACAATTATCTTTTATTCCCTAGCCAGCTCTATTTAGATTACTAACTGACATTCTGGATATACATTCAGAATAACTTAAATCAGCATTGGTAGGATTGTTGGATGCCGAAGAGGCATCTGATCTGATTGAATTGAAATTTTGAAACAAATTTTTAAATATGGACTTCTTGCATTTCTATTATGTGAATTACTATGGGCCTCAGTTTCTACAAAAAATTGTATCTTGATCTGTTCAGAATCGTATTAAATTTTTCATCTTTATCTGTTGATTTTTGACATTTGTTATTCACAATGAAATATAATTCAAAATAGTATGTGTCATATGTTTGAAGTATGAAATTGGTATTGAGGTACTTAATAATATACAAACTTGTTATTTTACTAGTCTGTTTTGTTTAAAATGTTTAATACAACATTTTATAATAATACATTTCATTATATATTTTAATGTTATAAGCTTCCCAGAGTTGCCTTGCAATGAGATGTGCAGCAATTGTACTAAGTTGGTATATCAAGGACTACCTATAATAGTAGTAATAGCAACACTATATAATTACCAGATTGATAAACTATTTCTTATTTCTTTCTTATTTCGTTTCATATTGCTACAGGTTGTATGCAGGGTATGATTCCATATCTTCCCGAGCTAATTCCTCACCTTATTCAGTGCCTGTCTGATAAAAAGGCTCTTGTGCGCTCCATTACTTGCTGGACTCTTAGTCGCTATGCACATTGGGTAGTCAGTCAGCCCCCAGACACATACTTGAAGCCATTAATGACTGAGTTGCTAAAGCGTATCCTTGATAGTAACAAGAGAGTACAAGAAGCTGCCTGCAGGTAGGTCACAGTAATGCTAGCCATGGCTCTCAAGGTAAATTCTGTAGTCTACAGTATTTTATTTATTTTTGTTGAGTAGCTCCTTTCTAGTTCTGGAAAAGCCATTTGAGATCATTTTTAGCCATTCTCCTGCAATTATATTTGCTTGTAACAGCTATGTTATATTTGTTTTCTAAGGAAATTATAACTTTGTTTTAAATATATAAAACTTTTGATTCCCTATATACCGTTAATAGATTTTTAAAGGGATTTATTATTTTATGTAAGAGGGAAAGTACATTCCTTCATTCAGACTAATGTTTTCTTTTGCCTTTTAGTGCCTTTGCTACTCTAGAAGAGGAGGCTTGTACAGAGCTTGTTCCTTATCTTGCTTATATACTTGATACTTTGGTATTTGCATTTAGTAAATACCAACATAAGAATCTGCTCATTCTTTATGATGCCATAGGAACTTTAGCAGATTCTGTAGGCCATCATCTAAACAAACCAGTAAGTATCGCCCAGAGTTACCTTGAGGTAAGATGGGCATCCTATAAATGTTATAAATAAATAAATTGTATCTCTCTGTTCTTCAAAAAAACTTGACTTTTTATTCATTTCTTTATCAAGCATTCATTCTAGATAAGTGTTTTTGGAGATTTCGTGCCCAAGTTATTCACTGCTTTATTTATGAATATTCCAATTTTTTTGCTTTATATTAGGCTCTTAAGAAACATTATAAAATCTGACTTGAACATTCATGAATAAAATGCTACATACCTAAAGCTTTAAAAAGTATGCCTAGATGTTTTCCTTATAATTGTTGAAATCCTTCAATGATAATATCTCCATTATTTTGTCATAACTACAAGAAAGAAAGCAGCAAGGCAGGAACCAGTGATTCCTGGTGACTCCTGTTCCAGTCATTCCTGGAATAGATAGGACTATTTTGTAAACATACCTTTCCTGCCCAGGGCCAACAAGTGACTGTCAACTATATGTTAATTTGGGAGTGGAAGAAGAATTCTACAATCTAAATTGCTAAGAATATTGTTGGGGAGTGTGCACTCAATTGCTGTTAATTCAAAGGAATTTACATAAATGCTTAAAAAAACTAAATAAAGTTTTGTAGAGCATAAATTCTGTGAAATTTTCATCGTTTGCAGGAATACATCCAGATGCTTATGCCTCCATTAATCCAAAAATGGAACATGTTAAAGGATGAAGATAAAGATCTTTTCCCTTTATTAGAGGTAATTCATGCTGTTGTTATAAATAGTTCTTTGACCTTTATAAATCATCACTGTTTACATTTTCTTCCTTATGATGCCAGCTTTTAACAGGGGAATTGAGGTATCCTAATTCTGCATCCATATAATTAGGACTAAGCCCCATTAGCTTCATGAAGATCTTTGGACAAGATCTGATATGAGTGCACCATAATGTGGCAGTTCTGAGGATTTTCTAGGAATTAGCTTTCTGGGAACTTGTAAGAATGTGTTATAGAAGGAATTATAGGATTAAACTGCAAAGAATCAATGGAGAGTTCCTCTGGTCTTGTGTGTTCAAGCATTATGATTATGTCCCCGTACCATTTCTTAATCTGAATACATGAACTTATTTTATCTTTCAAAAGTTTCCCTTTTAAACAGAATTAATGTAGTAAATATCTTTAACACACTATATAATTGGTACACATGTTCCTGTATTTCAGTGCCTGTCTTCGGTTGCCACTGCCTTGCAATCTGGCTTCCTTCCATACTGTGAACCTGTCTACCAGCGCTGTGTGAATCTGGTACAAAAGACTCTTGCACAAGCCATGGTATTTTCTGTTACCTGTTTTCATAGCATTAGAAAATGTAGCGTCAGTGGAATTTAAACTCCCTGATCGTTTATAAAATTCTTTGATCAATTTGGGGAATAAAAAGTAATGAAAATTATACACTGTAATATTGCATACTTAAATCTTTTAAACAACAATTGTTTTTTTCTTAGTTGCATAATGCTCAACCAGATCAGTATGAAGCTCCAGATAAAGATTTCATGATTGTGGCTCTTGATTTACTAAGTGGTTTAGCTGAAGGACTTGGAGGCAACATTGAACAACTAGTGGCTCGGAGCAATATTCTGACACTGATGTACCAGTGTATGCAGGTGAGATAAATAATCACATTCTTTTGCCTTGGTGCTGTTTTTATTTTCTAATTAAAAACAAAAGCTTGTTTCTTTTCTCTTAGGATAAAATGCCTGAGGTACGACAGAGTTCTTTTGCCTTGCTAGGGGATTTGACCAAGGCATGTTTTCAGCATGTGAAGCCCTGTATTGGTAGGTAACTTAATACCACAAGCTGTTATCATGTATATTTTGAACTGCCAACTCATACTCATTGTGTTTTTTAATTTGATATTAAAAGTCCTTTATACTATAAATTGATAATGATGGCTGTAGTAATAGAAAATTGCCATAAATATATGTATACATTTATGGCTTGGACCTGTTTATAGAGCTTTTATTACCAATATGCCATATTGGGGAGAAATATTTTGTGGATTATTTCAATTAATAATTTCTTACCTAGAATGATGGGAAAGAGGTGCTTGGTTCCTATTCGTTTGCTTCAGTCTTTCTGCCTTGGCTTAAAGAAATCTACCATGTTTTCCCGAAAATAAGACATATCCTGAAAATAAGGCTAATCGGGCTTTTCAGGACATGTGATAATATAAGACACCCCCGCAAAATAAGCCCCCCCCCAACTACGCGCCCCACTCCTCCTGCCGGGCATGACAAGGCTCCTGCCCCTTGCTTAGCCACCCGACCCCACCCACCCCCCTTAGGATGCAATTTGGGGGGTGGCAGCTGGGGCGGGCGAGAAGTGTCTCGCTTCTCCCCCGCCCCACCTGCCACCCGTCTCAATAAAGAGATGGTGGGGAAGGGAAGCATCCAGGCTGCTGTTGCCATTGGGGTGGGACGCGTTGGGCCCCGAGACGTGCCATTTGCCTTTCCAGCACCATCACGTTCCTCGCCTTTCTGTCCAGGGAGACATGTAGAAAAAACTTTCTCGCGAGTTCAACGAGTTTGGCTGAATACCATGAGGCCAATGTGTGAGAGTGCTCAACAGGTAATGTATAGAAAACATTTGGCTGAAATCACTGCTGCTAAAGGAGGCAATCCGGTTAATAAACTAAAACTTCACAAAGGTTTTCTAAGAAAGATAGTGAATATTACATATTCAATAATCACACACATATAGAACACCTTGTGTGTTATTTGTTTTATCAGTATTTATTTATTTGTTAGCAGGATGCAGATGAAACTCATATCACACTGTAAGCCACAGTACTGCAGGATGGACAATCATCATATGGATTAGGGCAGGGCTGTCAAACTCCCGGCCCATGGGCTGGATGCTTTACACGCTCTTCTTTTTCTTTTTAAAAACTTCTTTCACTCATTGCTGTTTTAGGTTGCCTTGCATAAATTCAGAGCTAATTCAAGGATTTATTTATTTCCTATCTTTATTTGTTTTTCTTATAAATAATGCAAGCTGGTGAACAAGGTGGTAATACTCCTTCCTCGTCCTATTTTCCCCAAAACAACCCTGTGACATGGGCTGGGCTGAAAGAGAGTAACTGCTACAAAGTTACCCAGCTGGCTTTCATGCTAAAGTAGGAGTAGGACTCACAGTCTACTGATTTCTAGGCTAGCACCTTAACTACTACACCAAACTAGCTCAGTGTACGTGCCTTAAGTTTTGACCCCTAGGACAATGCACCCTCAACCCAAGTCTAAAGCCAGCCTTGCATGAACTGCTTGCTTTTGAATTTGCTATAATGTTGTAATTGGGATGTGGTTGATGCATTTGCTTGGATATTTTCAAATGTAATCTTTCTTCTGCCTTTAGTATTCTGGTTTATTTTTGTATATAGAATCACTCTTTTATTGTATCACTCCCATTCATTTAAACTTCAATTCATAGACATATCCTGATGTGCTCTTGTAGTATTTGTTGGCACAATCCAGAATCCATTGTCCCTTCAGTCTTCATGAGCCATTTGGATTATGAGGCTACAAAGCAGCCCCAAACTATCACATTTCTAGCATACTATTATGTGATTGAGATGAGACCATTTCAGTGTAACACTGTTTCATTTTCTCCAGACATAATTTCACCATTCATGTCCAAATATTCCATTTTGAATATCTATCTCATCTACCTTTCTCATCTATTCATAAATTATTGTTCCAGTAACCTATTAGATAATCCAGGTATAAATTGGTTGAGATACTGTAAGTGACAGTTTTCTAGAGAATATTCTTTCCTCCCAGATATATTCCCAGTCACACAACTTTTATTCAGTGTTTCCCTAGCATTTATGAACAGTTGACATAAAGTCTGACATCTGACAATACAAAATTGGTCTGCCGGTCCTTTGCGATAATCCTGGGATTTGGGGTGGGAATCTCTCATAGTGTTGTATATTTTGACACCACAGAGTTCTCTCTTACTGGGCTAAAATGCGTTGTGATGAGCAGGTTCCAGTAGTGGAATTCAATATGTGTGTATTTTAATGAGGAGACCTGGATTATCACCTGATTGACTTGTACATACAACTCAATTTACTTAATGGGATTTCACATCTTTTTCTCCATGTAAATGATGAATATTAGCTCAGTGTGTTCAATAAAGGCATGGTATTATTTTGTATGGTTGTATGTTAATCAAAATCTCTTATGTCTTGGTGCAGTGCAGGTCACAATACTGATTACAAGCAGGATTACACACAGTTCTTAAGGATTACATGCATGTTTATAACTAGTTTTTAAGGGTCCACCAGATTTCTGTTACAACTGTATATGGGTTGTGTTTTCAGAGAGATTTCTGATAGAGATGGAGTATCATTTTGGTAACAGTTATTTCTTGGCAGTAGAAGAGTGAAGCATGGGCTATGTGAATTGTCATATGTTAGATAGTTTAACTGAGAACTTCACGTCATTTAGTTCAACAGTTAATTTTTTCTTTCAGTGGAGGAAGGTATCCTAAAAGCAGAGTTGCTTCCCTTACTTGTTCTAGTAGGTATTAGTAAGAGATGGTAACAGTTGATAAATGAGATAGAACCAACTCCTCCTTCCAGTTAAATTTCTGCCACGTTCCAATGCCCAGGACTGCTGAATACTGAGAAAAGAATAGGAATAAATCCAAACATAAACACAGTGTACTTCTTCCATATGTAGTGTTGTTTATTGCACAAAACAAAATAAATAATTAGTACTTATAATTCCAGTTTACTGTCCTGTTATCTCTTTAATGGGTGTGGATCAGTGATGAAATTCAAATTCTTTTACTACCTGTTCTGTGGGTGTGGCTTGGTGGGCATGGCAGGGGAAGGATACTGCAAAATCTCCATTCCCACCCCACTCCAGGGGAAGGATACCCCAAAATCCCCATTCCCTCCCCACTCCTGGGGGAAGGATATTGCAAAATCTCCATTCCCACCCCACTCTGTGGCCAGCCAGAGGTAGTATTTGCCAGTTCTCCGAACTACTCAAAATTTCCGCTACTGGTTCTCCAGAACCTGCTAAACTTCACCCCTGGTTTGGATATATCTTAATTAAAGAACAACATACAATTTTGTTTATTTATTTTAATGTTTTCTTTATAGTTATCACATAACTTTCACTTGATCCATCCCTTATCTACAGTTTTGAGACCTGATCACTGAACTTTGTTATGTTAATTCCTCTAAATACCTTTGCTTTAATTTTTTCCCCAGTTTCTAATCTTTCCTAAATTAGAGGAGAAGTGAGGAAGAGACAAAAATAACTCTTTGCCAAGCCTTCTTGGAAAGCCACACTTGCTATAGTCATGCTAGCTTCTTTTCTCTGTTGCTCAATTTTTTTTACCAACTAGTGTGCTCTGCAATTCTTCCTTCCTGATTCTGTATGCATCAGTTGGATCATCAATTCTGTTTCTTCCCCTCTAGTGATCCTCCTTTCTTTCTTGGTAACTGCAGCCACCCTGTTTCTTGAAAGCATGTATCATACCCCCAGTTGATTCAGAATCACACAGCAGAAAGTATTTTTAAAAATCTGCTTTCCTTGACAATCCCTTCATAGAAATCTTGCTCCACCTCAAGTTAGATGTGATTACTCACAGGTATTCCAATTACACCAAGAATGTCCTAAACATCTACAGGGCACTTCTAGTGCATTTGGCAAAAAGACAAAACTCCATCTTCAGACAAATTACAATACTGTCATAATTGGACAGCACATCTTGTCACAAGGACCTTGAAGAGATTAAGCTTTTTTTCCTTTGTATTTTGAGATTTTTAAATGGAAGGAGAAAACAGTCAGTTGTGAAGGGGAGGGAAGGCTGCAGCTGATGGCAAGAGTTCCAGCTGGTGCGAACATTCTGAGTGTTAGTTCTCTCTTCTTGTAATCACAGGAATCCTTAACAACCAAATGATCTGTTCTCTGCCACCAAGGATCCAGTCACTAGCAGGACTCTCTCTCTCACTGGTTTTCTTTATATTGGTGTCATTTTCCAATACGTCTTTACCCAACGGAGAAACTTTTTCTCTGTCGCTCTAGGTATTGTTACAAAATTTTGTTAGTCCTGCCTATTGGACAAATGGGAGGAGCAGTTCAGTTTCCAAGATACCTTCTGTTCATTTTAGAAAATGATTCTCTGTTGTAAGCCCCATTTTGCCTTCTCCTCCTGTTCAGATTTTAAAGAAAATATCTTATTGCCATTAGTGACTAATATTTAAATCTCAATTTTTACCCTGTTCTCTCATTTCCATACACGTATTTTGGATTGCTGTGTAGTAGATTGTAAATGCCTGTTTGATCAGATTTAGAATTTTCATCTACTATCTTCTGGCTGGATCCTAATAAATACTATGCTTGCTCCACTTCAGAAACGGCTATTGCATATTTAAAACAAACAAACAAAAAAAACAGGTTCCTATGACAAATGTATCCATATGCATCTTGTCTGGAAGAGAGATTAATACATTGGTATGTTTATAATGGACTTTCCTATTTGGAATCTGAACTTTTTTGTTGGAATGGTTTTAGAAATATTGGGGGGTTAAAATGTCAAAGAATTTTCTGCTAAAATTATATTATGCTGAAGTTTTATGCTATTGTTCTAGCAAAGGATAAATTTTAATGACAGGGCTTATTTATGTTTTTTCAGCTGATTTCATGCCAATTTTGGGAACAAACCTAAACCCCGAGTTCATTTCTGTGTGTAACAATGCCACATGGGCAATTGGAGAAATTTCTATTCAGATGGGTGAGATTGTTTTTTTTTTTTTTTTTAATGCTAGTTTGAATTTTCAATTGTGTAGATTTTTCTTTGGTCTTGTAACCACTTATAAATTCTGTCAACTGTGTTAATGTGCCTATAATGAAAAGTGATTTTTAATATATTGCTTGTGTATTGTTTTTTTCTAGGTATAGAGATGCAGCCTTACGTCCCAATGGTTTTGCACCAGCTTGTAGAAATCATTAACAGACCCAACACACCAAAGACTTTGTTAGAAAACACAGGTACCCTACAACTGATCTGTTTGCAGTGATTTTTAAAATGTATTACACAAAATTGTAGAAAAACTCCATCAGTGTTAAAAACAAGATGAATTTTAGATGCTTGTCAATCCAGTTGGTTTAATAAAGATAGTCCTCGATTTACAACTATTTGAAGTTACAACGGCACTGAAAAAAGTTACTTATCACCTTTTTTCACACTTACAACCATTGCAGTATCCCCATGGTCACATGATCAAAATTTGGTAGCTTGGCTACTAGCTTGTGTTTATTATGGTTGCAGTGCCCCAAGATCATGTGATCATCTTTTGCAACCTTCTGACAAGCAAAGTCAATGAGGAAGCCAGATTAACATAACAAACCTGTTACTAAATTAACATCTGTAGTGATTCACTTAACAACTATGGACAGAAAGAGCATAAAATGGGGCAAAATTCACTTAATAACTATGTTCCTGAACAATAGAAATTTTGGGCTCAATTATGGTTGTAAGTTGACAACTACCTTATAAACAGCTCCTGCCAAATTAATGAATTAGCTTCAGTTGCCTTTGCTTCTCTGATGTTGGGTTTCTATCATTGAGCAAATGAGATATTCTGAAGCTGTGTTGGTAGGAGAGGGATCTTCCATTAATGAATAATTTTTCAAGAGCACTCCCAAAAGAGTATTAGGTTTGTGGCAAATTTGGAGCTAGGGTAATTAATTCCCCACAATTGAGACTAATGGGAAGGAATTTTTGTGTTAAGAAAGAGCAAATTGTTTTTTCTTTGTCTTGCTGCCATGAAATTATCAATACTTTTCCCCAAAAATTTCTAGTAGGGTTGTTTTGTAACAGTGCATAAGACCTCAAAATGTTTAGCTAAATTATTAAAATTTGATTATATTTATAGTTAAAATAATCCAGTTGACTTCTTTTTATATGATACAAATTATCAGTTCTTTGCATGTAGCTTACTTGAAGTCTTCATAATTGTAATCAACAACATGATGAAACCAAACAAATTTAAGTGGCTGGACAGTATACATTGTGCAAACATATACAATTTGGTTGATCTATAAAAGGTATTAGAATTGGAGGAGGCTCTACAATTGAATCTTGTCCAATACCCTGTGGAACATGTTTTTAATAAACTTTCCAGTTTTCTAGAAAATTCTGGTTACCTTTCTAGCTGTTTATTTGTTTATTTTTATTAGATTATCCCTCACTTTTTAAACTTAATAATTAACTCAAAGTGGTGAACATATATAATACACCTTCCTTCTCCTAGCTTCCCTGCAACATAACCCCTGTGAGGTGGAATGGGCTAGAGAGAATGAGTGGCCCAAAGTCACCCAGCTGGCTTTCATGGCTAAGGACCAAACCAAACTGGCATTCTAAATGTATATTTAAAATTATAGTCTGTTATGAAATGACTGGTTATCAGAGTTTCAGTTTAAACCAATTTTGGCTGACTTTTAAGGATGTAGGTCAAGTTTCATTCTATGCATGTTTGTTAAAATGTAGTATAGCAGTACATTTATTTCTGTAATGGAAATGAATTATACCTGTGATATGGCACCATACCAGCATTGCAGTATTCAGGAAGAGCTTGTCAATAATTTTATCTTTTGGAATGATCCCTTTCAATGAAAGAAATCCCAAATCATTACAGGAAATGAAGACTATACACTTTTTAAATCATTACTGCTGCACTAAGTTTCTCTATGCAGAAATTAAATTTCCTGAAAATTACAATTTAAATTTTCTAAAATGGATACCCCAGACATACTATATACTATAAATAAATGTTGAATGTATTGCACATTAGATTTGTTGTGGGATATTCTGCTAAAGTAATATAATACCTGAAATCACAATTCAGAATTTATAGGCTTAATTATCCTGGCACAATACAGTATTACACAAAGTAAAAATACCTGCTAAATATAAGTGGTACATACTTCTTCTCAGCCAGTATAAAAATTTTGACCAATGTTACTGTAAAGAAGTTTATCCAGTTTGGTTTTTTGAATAAAAAAGCAATTTGATTACTGATACCAAGGTTTCATGATCAGCGTGATTTAAAAATAAAGCTGAATATTTAATTTAATCCATATAGTTTTATAGGAAAATTCATTTTTTATAATGTTGGTATATCCTACACCAAACCTTACAGTGAAAAAGAGCATCATCAGCTTTACTGCATGTGTTCATGAAATTTGTTCACACAAATGCCTGTTTTGGAGTGTTGCATAATGTCTTTTAAGCATAGGCTTCTCTGCTTCATACAAATCTGCTGGATTTTAGTATTCATGTAGTTTGCTTCAAATAATCCTTAAACATACCCACACTTTCCCTTTTCTGAAGAATTGCTATGTGAGCTGAGAGAACACCATTAAAACATGCTTATGGCCACTTTCAAGGGAAATGTTCATACTAAAGCCAAGAAAATGTTCAGATAAAGCAGGTTTCTTTTATTATAGTTTGTCATATCTTTAGCTTTGAAACACTTCACAGAGATAAATAATGTAATATTTACATTACTATTAATAATTAATATCTACAATAACCTAATAAAACACATTTTATTGTGAGGAACTATGTGCATATTATCCTCTTTCCTATTAAATTTAGTTTTGTATAATAAAATAGCCCTAGGAAATGACTAATCTCGTTAGATATCATTCTGTTTGGATTTTCAAATGAATATTTATCCCATTAAGTGTTAATTTGAAATATTACACAAAAATATTCATTAATATGTTAATAAATATGTTTTAAATTCCCTAAATAGAAATAGCTGTTGCAATTAAACAGTATTAAGATATTGAGCGAAACTATTCATTTGATTTTAATCATAATTTTGGTGTTCTCTCATTCACTTTATTCCTTTTTCCTTTATTTCCCTGCCCTCCGCCAAATAGTATGCCACATATTGCTGCCCCTTATTTTTAGGGGTGGTAATGAACAGCACTGGTGAAATCTTATGTTTATTATCATACACAGGTTCTGTTGGTTTCTGTTTCTGAGTTATTTGTTGTTTTTTCTTTATTTTTCTCCTTCCCCCCTCATTTGCTCATGTCTTGGTTGGCGTTTGGTGGTGTATAACCGTGATTGCGTTACCTTAGCAATAACAATTGGTCGTCTTGGTTACGTTTGTCCTCAAGAGGTGGCCCCCATGCTACAGCAGTTTATAAGACCCTGGTGTGTATTATTCAATCTTTTTTTAATTCATTTTTCTTCACTTTCTTCTTTCTTTCTTCCTTCCTTTCTTTCCTCTATTCTCACTTCTAGATATACTTTTCAGTTGGTTACAAATATCACTATTCTTAATCATTGCCAACCATGTGACTAATCTTGTCCTATCAGGTTTGTGAGGTTTTTTAGCAGTACTGTTGTGTATATATTTCATGTTGTGGCTAACAACTAATTGATGCATGGGATAAGATTGTCACATGCTTGATGTGTCAAAGCTTGATTATTAAGAGCATTTAAAATCCACCAGAATGATAATATGCATGCAAATAGCATAAAACATGAAACACCGCATTACATTACTTCAAATCATTTGCAATTTGACTTGCTGTTTGAGATACATGTTTCTAGATTTGTACCAAATTGCTTGCTTGCTGCTGTAACAAGTTAAAGATGTTATGTTATGATACATCATAAATTTTATATTGTTGCAGTATATACTGCTTTTATTGATGGACATTTCTATACATAAATATATAAATATATATGTGTGTGTATTTATATTAACAGAAGTATTTAATGGAATACAGGTCACATTCAATATCAGCTGTGGAACAGCAGCTGATTTAATATTGACAACCCTTGGAGAATTAAATAGGGCTTAATATACAAAAAGAATGTAGAATGTATGTAAGATTAATGATGCTTGTGTGACTTAGTCTTCAAGGTCTTTTAGCTGTGACACTTATTCCATCAAATACTATTAAAATTAAAAATTTAATTTTAAAATTAAAAACAAAAATCTAAAACTTAGGTTCTTTATTGCATTAGGTGCACCTCTCTACGAAACATAAGGGACAATGAGGAAAAGGATTCAGCATTCCGTGGGATTTGTACCATGATTACCGTCAACCCTAGTGGAGTAGTCCAAGTAAGTCTTCCTTTGGTCTTGGGAGAAAAAAGGGAATTGAATTGAATTTAAATATTTGAATAATCAAATATGAGTGATTAACAAAGAAATAAATATATATAAGCTGACTAATGTTTTGAAAGGGGAATGTGCTAAGTATGTAAGATATCAATATGAAAGATAATTGCAATTTATTTGGAATGTATTTCTGATATTTGACATTGTGGGGCAGAAAAGAGTCTTATTTTTTAAATAATTTATTGCATTTCTGTTAATGGACATTTCTAATTTACAATTTCTATAAACATTTGCAGGACTTTATATTTTTTTGTGATGCTGTTGCATCATGGATTAGCCCAAAGGATGATCTCCGAGACATGTTCTGTAAGGTAATAATTTTTTCAAAGGAGTATATTATTTTTTTAAAATGTGAGGTAAAGAGTGCTTTGTATGGTACCAAACCACTGTATTTTGGTAATGTGCAAATACTGTACATCATTTCTAATGTGGATCTATAATTAAAGATGGTTCCATTTTTCCTCCTGTTGCTAAAATATTTCTTCAGTTGGCTTACTTTTCCCCTTGCACCAGTAGGCAGGACCAAAGAATGTTTCTCTTGTAGCTCTAGGCGGCAACAAACAATATTTCCCACTAGGTCCTTGGTGCTAACAGTTTTGGTAAGAGCTTTTGGAGAAATTTTATTGTTTACTTTTTGTCTCCATTCCTCTTCATTTTTTCCCTTACAACTTGTCTTTTCCTTTCCTTTCTTCTTTCTAAGGGACAGTCATGGTTTATGATGGTCCGGAAAGTCTCTCACATATATATGCAGGGATAACTAGGAGCAGCTTCCAAACAGCTATAGCAGTTCTGCAAAAATAATTTTGTGCTTTAAAATGTATCATGCATTCTAAAATATATCTTCCAAAGGATTAACAAGACCCTAATATTTGGGCACTTCTGCCTTTATTTCATAACTAATTAAATATCTATTTTGCAAATATCTCTTTGAAAAAAGTTAACTTTCATTTAATTTTCAGATCCTTCATGGATTTAAAAATCAAGTGGGAGATGAAAATTGGAGGCGTTTCTCCGACCAGTTTCCTGTTCCTCTAAAAGAGCGCCTTGCAGCTTATTATGGAGTTTAATCTCAAATATTCAAGCTGCAGTACCATAAGAGGTAAATCATTTATCTTTCAACTATCTATGAGCTTGCCTGTAGAACTTTTCCAATACATGAATTGTTCTGTTGTCTTTTTAGTGGGCACTCTGTTTAACTACAGGTAGTCCTCAACTTACAACTGTTTTGTTTAATGATGGTTTGAAATAATGGTGGCCTCAGAAATAATATTTTATGGCCTGTAAAACACTTTTTTAAACTGTCACAAAACATTGCAACCTGTGGTCATATGTTTGTGATTTGGGTTTTTGACAACCATTCGCATTTATGATCAGTTGCCAAGTCCCCTGCAAACGGGATCACCATTTGCAATCTTCACTATCAGCCTCCGTAAAAAGTCAGTGGGGGAGCTGGCAAAAAATGTTGCAAACTGCTGCTGCCTGCCAAGAGGACTCCTACTCGTGTCTGGTTGCTGGCTGAAAGAGTTCCCTGTTAAAATCCACGCGGGCACAGAATTGAAATCCTTTGGCACACAGCTCTTTCAGCCAGCCCCAAGAGTTGAGAGGGAGTTGAAACTCAAGTAAGATTTTCAGCCTCTTGACCGTAGATGCACGCAGTAAAGAAAGGAGTGCAGGATAGCAATAGCACTTAGACTTATATACCGCTTCATAGTGCTTTTAAAGCCCTCTCTAAGCAGTTTAGAGTCAGCATATTGCCCCCAACAATCTGGGTCCTCATTGAAGGATTGAAGGCTGAGTCAACCTTGAGCTGGTGAGATTTGAACTGCAGCTAGCAGTCAGCTGAAGTAGCCTGCAGTGCAGAGGGTAGTGCAGTAAGGTATGGAGTGCAGGGTGTCTCAGAGGTGGGGGGGGGATGGGGCCTACAGCAGACCACACATAAGTATATTTCTGCTGAGAGGCTGAATATCTGCTTGGATTTTGGCAGAGAAGATTATCAGGTCCTGAACTAAAAGATGTCAAACAGCCTGCGCTAGGCCTCCAGGGCCTCTCTCTTGCCCCACTGGGGCATCCCTACTGTCCTTACCTATTTGCTTAACAACCACAATATCATTTAACAACCAAAACTGGAAGTGTCAGGGTAACAGTTGTTGAGTGAAACAGTCATGTGATGTTTCACTTAACGACCACTTCACTCAGTGACCAAGATTTCAATCCTAATTATGGTTGTAGGTCAAGGACTACCTGTATGGATTTTCTACTACAAGTGAACACTAGTTTCTTCAGCAATTGTTTTTTAAGAGTGAGTGACACATCCTCATTTAGTTACTTAGACAACCTGATAACATTTCAAACTAGTTTTAACAGATTCAAATCACTACGTGTACCTAATGTGCTATACAGTAGGCCTTGTTATGGTTTAATGCAATGTTTGTTTCACACAGCATACTGAATCAACATTAGATTCTCACAATATTCAAAAATACAAGCTAAGTAGCTTAGTCTTTTGTTCCGACCCAGTCCTTTCTGTTCATGGAACTTTGCCAGCGCCTGTGAAATTTAGTGGACTAACCAAATGGCTTTTGGTTCTCCCATCTGCAGTACAGCAAAGCATTGTACACATTGAATTGAAGCAGCCCGAATATGCTAAGATTTGGGTTCTAGTATGTGATTCCTTTTCATCTATCAATGCAATGGTGTCTTAAGTACTCAACACTGAACAATAAATAAATCGGTAAAACAGATAATCTATCATTTTTTATTTTTTTCACACTTAGTTTTTCTTTTTAAAAAATCAATTATTTTCAGTCCAGTTATGAAGACATCTGCAAATTTTTGCACTCTCACTTAAAAAAAGAACATGCATAATGTAAACCAGCCCTGTGTGTACTTTATTACTGGTAATTCTCTAGAACTGAATTTGGGAGGTAAAAAAATGAAATTTGAATTGTAATTTTTGTGCATGTTACATAAGCTTTTAATGAGCCGAGGTGGCGCAGTGGTTAGAGTGCAGTACTGCAGCTACTTCAGCTGACTGCTAGTTCAGCAGATCAAATCTCACTGGCTCAAGATTGACTCAGCCTTCCATCCTTCCGAGGTGGGTAAAATGAGGACCCAGATTGTTGGGGCAATGCTATTTAGTATACTGTCGATTGTTGTAAGCTGCCCAGAGTCCTCGGAGAGTGGGTGGCATAGAAATATGATTAATAATAATAAAAATAATAAAAAATAAATAAAAATAATAAACTATCACAGTTGGAACTCCTCAAATTAACACTAACTTAAACAGTAGCAGAGTTGATGCAACTACCCACACAGTGTTGTCCCTAGACATTAGTGATTTGTAAGATTTAATTGAACTTACTATTTCAGGTATAAATGGAACTAGAAATATTATGAGGTCTATTGATGAAGATTTATTACAAAAAAATTCAAGAAATAGCAATTAACTTCACTCTGAAAATACTATACTGGTGCTTTGTTTTGCGGCATACTACAGAGCAACATTAATTTGTATGTCCTATGTTAAGTGTGTATTGATCATAATATTAAACAATTTGCTTTTGAATAAAAACTCGTATTTGTTTCTTTCAGGTCCTTCAGTCTGGAAGACTGGGAGGAAGCCTCTGCACCCAGGGAAAAATGTTACCCTTTACTGGGGGGAAGGGTAAACCAGTAGGGAATACAGTACAATCCCAAGCCTACTGGGAGGGGCGGGAGGGAGGTGTTGCCGTCACTGTATTAAGCCGATGTTGGGAAATGTTTTAACATCTGGAGCTTTTGTGGGTGGAAATCTGTCTCCTGTTACAATTCTGCACTGGATGTGAAGATGCGCAAAAAAAGTTTGTTCACAACAGCACATTCTGCAATATTATGGGGAATTGTACCAAAATGAAATTATAAAATAGATCTATAGGGGATATGTAAAGAGAAAATACATTGTGTTCATGTGATAAAGGAAACAGAAGAATGGCAATTACAGACAGTTAATGGTATAACAAGGGGTTTCTGCATTGTTTCATCTTGATGGGATTCCTAAGTATTGCATGTTGATGAAGAACTAAACAAATGAAGTTAGTACAGTTAAGGTGAAGCTTGCTCCCTGTATTAGGAGTAAGCACTTGCAGTATACAAATTTAAATAACCCCATAATGAAGTAATAAAGGCTAAAGCAAACAAATGAAGCAACCTGCAAGATGCCAAATGAGTCACTCCTTTTCATTTTTAGTGGGGGGGGGGGAAACGGGCATTTCAGAAGAAAGATTAATCTTTTTAATTTTCCATTTAAAGGGTAGTAGATATGATTTGATGGTTGTGCTTCATTAGATTTAATTTCTAGAGTAAGGCATAATTCTTAATGTGCAGTTTAAGGTTCAGGCATGCATTTTGGGTCATAGTGATCAAGCATATTTTTAGTGGGAAAGTTAGCATGCTTGCATCAAGGAGTGAGAGTGGTAAACATTACTTACCTTGCGCCAGTTTTGTGTTGCAGTTTACCAATTCGTGCAGTACAACCCTGCATTTAAAATTCCTTTAAAATTCTGTGGATTTTATTTTTATTAAGATATAAGTATAAAATACTGTAGTGACGATTAGGCCTCAAAATAATTTTTAGGATCTCTTAGGAATATGATTGATATTGTAATTTGTAACCTGCACAATGTGGAAAGCAGATATAGCTGTGCAAAGTATTGCCTCTGTGCTGTCAGTGTGATGTGCTTTCTGCATGGTTATACTATTAGTGATTTTTATCAAATCTTCTAAAACGAGTTATAAGGTAAGACCTGTTAAAGGTTACATAAATGTTAGTTGATGCCTAAAAGACAATTGTAGAAAATTGATGACATGATTGCTACATTTCAGTGTTTATTCACACCCAACATATTTTATTATTCTCTCCTCCACAAAGCATGATCTGAAGAGATGCATAAGTTAGTATATGTAAAGCAGGGTATCTACACTGTCGGCGCATGTTGGGGACCCATTGTGTCCTAGAGAGACCACAAAAGGGTGCAGGTTAAAAGCTACAGAGTGAATGTTCGTTTGGATCCTTTTCATTTCATTTGTTTAGCTTTTCTGCTTCCCTTTTCTATTTGCTTGTATTTCTGTGAATAAATCCTTGTTAAGTTTACCTTTTACTTTTCTTTCCATGTGTATTTTCTTATGTACTGTGAATGTGAAAATCTAACTGGTACACTTGATTTTGTGTTACTATAAAAGTGAAAGTGTGATTAATTTAGACTGCATAAAGAGTATCCCATGATGATAAAGGAAAAATGGAAAGACAATAACTCTGCTGGTCAGAGATAAAGCCACACTTTTCCATTTTCCCTTAAGTGCTGCAAAATTAATCTGTGCAAAAAAAAGAAAAGAAAAGCCATAACAACCGCCTTACATTTTAGCTTCTCATCTTTGCATTGAAAAAACCATACTGGATAACCATTTTGTAGGGAATGAGTGTATGATTTTGATTCTTTTTAAGGTCTATTGTATGATTTAGCCATTGCACTGAAAATCAACCTTGTATGTGTGAATTTATGAAATCTTATTTCAGGCTTTTTTTTTAATGCATGGGAGCATGCACAAGTCCTATACATTCCTTTTTTTCCTTTGTAAATTTCATTGGGGTCAAATATGTTTGAAAATGATTTATTACAAAATGTCCTGTATAAACGTCTTATGAACAGGTTTATGCTACTATGCCATTAAAACCACTGGAATAAAATTGCATATAGTCATCTACTTTCAACTAACTTGTTGTATTGGAAGCCAGAATTTTCAGCTGACCTTTGCTCTAGCTTTTTCAATCAAGGAAGTAGATATGAATTCCAAAGAAAGTAAATCTTAACATTTATTAAAGCCAGAACTTGCCTTTTGGCAAGAGTTTACATTTCTATATGGAATTCTAAAAGACAAAACTTTATTTATTTTGGCCCTTCTGTTGTTGAATTTGATAGTTGGCGATAACATTAAAGATTAGCGCATAGAAGCTACTTATATAGAGAGATAATTTTATTACATGGGTTAATATAAAGGGACGTGACTTTTATTGTAATTTAGCTGATCTCACAGAAAAGTAACAAAGCAATACTGCAGTTAGAATTAACAAATTAAGGCTTCATAGCAAACTATTCATAATGAATAAAATTACAGTATACTTGCAGAAGCTGCTTGGTATAGAATTTGAGGTAAGGAGAATTCTAATACAACACTAAGTTGTAAATCAAATATATTGCATCATGGGATATATAAAACATCTTAATTCTTTTTGTGTATTGACAGTTTTGAATGTTGATTGAATGTTGTTCTGTAGAATTGTATGTTTGTCTTTGTTACATTCCAGTGTTCTCTGCCTCTTGGCATGCTACAGGCACGGCTTACTAAATCTGCTCCTTACACAGTGAATTAAGTGCTTAGTGTGCTAAACTACAGAAATAGCCGCTGCTAAGTGATGTAGATTTTCTACTTGAATATTTTTGTTGTAGGAACCTCAGGAGGTCAGTGTTTACTGTTTTATATATGGCTTTGTTTTCGTGTTGAAGGCCCCTTTGCTTTTTGAAGGATTCTAACAATGAACAAAGCTGCTGATCAACCTAAGTTGGTAACAGAAAGTATATTTAAAAATATATATAAATAAAAGTGTCTCCTTTGCAGTTCAACTTGGCTAATGTAGAAAGAGTTTTTGATGGTTGAATTTGTGACTATTAAGGGAAAAAGTCTTACCTAACATCTTTGTTGCATTTCTTTAAATTGAAGGGGAATGGATAACATTTTGTAAGATTTTTATCTTCTTTTTTTCTAAGCTGGTATGTAGAAATCAGGTCTTTGATCTAGATTTCAGTGTGTAATGGTATTTAATTTGAAGTACTATACATTTCAGAGGACACATTTCCAAGTAAGTATGCTTAGGACTGTAGTCTTGGTTTATTGCCATGCTGAAGATGAAATTGTGGTAACTTTCATAAAATACATAGCCAATAGATTTTTTTAAAGTAATGTTACTTTTGTAATAAACAATATTGACACTGTGATACTTCTTTTTCTTTAGCATTGGCATTGAAGTATTTAAGCTACATAAATACTGTGTAATTTAGATTTATACTATTGTAAGAGGATTTCCAAAGCTGAAATTTCTGTTATTTAGATAAGAAATATTCATACTAGTTTTATCTCAGGTAAATAATCTTGTACCCTTTTGTTTAGATAGAGGCTTATTTCATAAGAGTACCAGTTTGTTGTTCATATAGAACTGCCTAATGTCTTAAACTTTCATATCTAAATTGAGGTACTATGGGACAGCAATTACTTATTTTATTCATATTGAATGTATTAATAAGGATGTATAACATTCTTTTTAAGAGATGAATGCATCTGTATGAATAGTACCCAATAATCACAGTAAAAGAGACTTTATATTGTGCAGTGCAAAGTTATGTTCCCGATGTAAAACAGAAGAGATTATGACGTGGAATATGTTCATAGCTAAGTAGCCTAGGCTTTTTTGGAATAATGAATGCCTAGAGAATAAACATGAAAATTATCCTTTTTTCTGATATAAACTACCATATGCCAAGCAGTAATCTCTTAAATTAACATTGCTGTTTGTATGTGAATGATGTACTGTGGTAAGCATTTGGCTCTTTAGGATATTTTGATTTTGAGGTGATAAATAGATTAACAACTTGACATTTTAATACAGTTTAATACTGCACGGAAATTTCTGATGTTCTTAATTTAAAATGTCTGCAATTTAAAGTTATACTCTTTATACTTGCTTGTCAAATCAAATCAGTGTTTAGGCTGTCCTGACTGAAATTTTAATATGGGCATATACAGTGCAGTTTCATCACTAAAAGACTTGAGTGAAAGCGTAATAGAGAAACTTTAATGGTTATATTAAAGTAATTATTTGATCTTATTTTGCTGGATAGATGCACTTTTAAACAAGATAGTTAAACTTCAAATTAATTGTAGCATTGATGATATAGTATTTCCTTAACTTTCCCCACCTAATAACTTGATTCTTCTGTGACAGTTCATTTTAGAATCAGTACTACTTTTGTATGTACAATTAAAACATTTTAGATGGCACATTTTTGTCTTCTTTCCCCTAAAGATACTACACTTTTTCTCCTAATCAACTTTGCCATAAGGTTGTTTATTTGAATTGGATTACTAACAATAATTAAATAATAAAGTAGTCAGATCTTTCTGCTGACAACTTAGGTTGTATGAGTTTGCTTGAAAGCATTAAATTGGATGTGTTTTCCATATGTGTTAGAATATTCCCTTCAAACATATCCTTCAGCAACTTCTCAAACTTCATTAAGTTGATTTTTCTTGTCTGCCTCTGCCAACAAAGCTTCATTTTAAACACAATATGGTTTCAATTTTTGATAAGCTGCTGAATTCTAAAGAACTTTTGGGGCCACCAAATATTTTGGATCATGCAGAGAATATATATTGTAATGTAGTAATTTTGTATTTACATTTGTATGATGTGATAATAGATGTGAATGTTAATCACTGCTTGACTATGTTAATAAAATTTGTTTAAATAGATGCTGCACTCTGATTCTTAATGAAAAGAGAAGGAGCCATTGAAAACTGATTTGTTTTAATTGAATATTCATTTATGTAGCTTCCAGTTTGTCTTGATATTTGGGAAGATATTATTGGCAACAGGAAAAAACATGTAGATTTAATTAACATAGAATCACTGTTTATATACCGGTATTTTTATATATATATATACATTGCTTTTTCTTTGGCTATAGCAGCACATAGACAAAATAACTAGATTTTGAGATGTGCCTCTTTTACCCAGTTTAATATGAATTTAATTCCTATTTTAGGATAGAACAGTTATTTTCCAACTGAATATTAAATTATTACATTAATATATTTTATTTATATTTGTAACAGAAATGTTGCCATGATTAATATCTGGCATCAAGACATTTGTTGGATGATAAGCGACTTCAAGAAAATCTATTCACTGGGTTTTTAACATAGTTGAATTTAATGACACTTGCAAAAATAAAAGCTTTAGGATAACTAAGGACGAATTGCACATTTATTGTCTTAAATAAAAAAATATATAAACTTAAAAAATTCTGAGTTATAAAAGAAGGGAGAGAATGTCCAAAGTTTGGCTTTCCACAGATCTCTAAAGGCATTTCAAAAAAGGTTCAATTTCTCAAATTAGCTGGTCTGGCTTTGTAATAAATTGGAATTTATAAAGTGCTCTTCACAGATTGCATATCCATTTTGGCACTTCCTAAAGAAACACAATCCAAGTCATGTTAGAGCTGCATAGATCCAAGCTAGCATCTGGGTTTGAATCTGAGAAATACATCGGCAATATTGAACATAATCTGATCTTACTGATTATCAAACTGTTAAGTGTTCCTAGCCCACTTTCATAAATATACAAAATACACTGCAGTAGTAATTTAATTTTTTATTTATTCAATTTGTACGGCCATCCATCCCACCTAAGTAACTAGAGTGGTTCACAGCAGTTAAAAACAAGAAAAAAATAATTGTAAAACCTTCAATATTACTTTAAAACTAAAATAACTATGATCAATGGCAAAGTATTTATTTATTGTTTGTTTATTGGTTCCATTTATATGCCGCCCTTTTCTGGAGACTCAGGGCGGCTTACAATGCGTTAAGCAATAGCCTTCATACTTTTGTATATACCTGCTTAGTAGGGCTTTCGCCCCCCCCAAAGCGGTGTTCTTTTTTATACAAAGTCAGCTTATTGCCCCCACAAACTGGGTCCTCATTTTACCTACCTCGAAAGGATGGAAGGCTGAGTCAACCTTGAGCCTGGTGAGATTTGAACTTGCAGTAATTGCAGGCAGCTGGTGTTACTTAACAGTGCTTTAGTCTGCTGCGCCACCAAGGCTCTTAATCATCTTTGTGTCAAATTCAGCATAGCCATTGCAAAAACTTCACCATTGCCTGACCCCCAAGAACAATGGCAGAGCCTTGTCTTCAGTGGGTTCCTAAAGTCAAAAGGGTCAGAACTAATCTAGGATCAGGAGGAATGATGTTCCAAAAAGTGTATGCAACCTGGGTCCTGCCAGATAGCCCTCTTTAATAGACCAGATCTGTAACATGCCTTTCCTGAATACTTTAATCAGTACAAAAAAAAAAATCCAGAGTACCTTAAATAATAGTCCTTACAAGACCCAATGGTCTTGGTTGATGAATAGATGTTATTTAGAAATTGGGATATATAAGGCTAAATCTTTTTAATGGGTGGTGAGAGGAATGAAATCTGAAACAGGCATACATCCAGGAATATTGGGATAATATGAAGTCTAGTTTGCAAAACCCATGTAGATGGGAATCAGTGGATATATAAAAGCACATCTTCTCATTTGTAACTTATTTACAAATGAAAAAATTACTAGAGATGCACAAATGCAAATAAAAATAATCAATAACCACTTAGTATATCAGATGTTTTTGGATCTTTATATTGTTTCAAGCTACAAAAGCTAATAGTGCGAAGACATAGAAAATATATACAGCAATAGAAAAATATTTTAAAATATTTATGATGTACTTATACTGAACATTAAAAGTTTTGTATCAGCAGACCAGTTGTTTTTATTCTATGAATTCTATGCTTGTCTACATTCTTGATTTCTGCTGGCTTTTAAATATGTGACATGTGATTACTGATTTTGAAAGTTTGCTCTATCAAAAAAAAAAGTATCTGAGCTAGGAATGTCTATTAATCTTGTTCTTAGTTTGCTTAATAAAAGATGCAATTAAGTAAAAGGAAATCAGAATAAGTTAAACAGGAAATTGTAGCAGGATATATGAAAACGTATGGAAGGTTATTAAGGTTTAATAGATTGGCAATTGGCAGAGCATTGTACAGATGGGATATGGGTAGCAATAGACAACAGATGAATCTAGCGAAATATGAGCGTGATATAAATGATAACCATGGTTTTCGGTATAATATCTTTTACAGAGAAATGAATCTAAAATTTGAACAGAATACTGAGTGCAGTGCAGAAAGGGTTGTATCTACAGTGTGCTTTTCAAGTTAAAAATATCTAAAAATCAACTGATAGGTTAAAGGAATATATATATATTGAAAGAAAATGAGTGAATGCACTACTCTTCTGTATCTGTACACTTCTTTATCTACACAGGAAGGATAGAATAAATAGGGCAGGAGACAAGAGTTATACAGTAGTTTTCTCCAGTTCCCTGTGTATCCATAAAACAAGCTATCAAAATGTCAGATTTAAAACAGCAACAGTTGTCTCTAAAGACTGATTTATGCAATGTGCATCACTGCTGATCATTTTACTAAGCAATAAGAACAAAAATCCTATGATACACATTCGGGGAACACATTTTAAAACAACTGCTGTAGAAATGATGGAAATCACTGAGTATTCACTTTTTGCATTATTTTTGGACATAATTTTAAGATTTCAGTTTTTCTTTATGGTTATTACACAGGAAAAACAAAGTCCCAAGCAAGACAATGGCAAAGGCTAATTATTTTAAGTGCCTTGAAGACAACAGAAAAGAGGCCTGCTCTGAATATGAGTATTTCGTGGGCATTTCCTTTCAGTGCTAGATCTTGCACAGACAATCCCTAACCTCTGTGGGGTATGGTGTCGTCCTACAAGATGATACAAGAATGAGATAGTATTAAAATGTTTCTTTCCAACAAAAAAAATTTCTAAACTCAATGTTGACTGCAATTATTTTACAATCAGCATGATATTTCACTAATTGTAAAAATAGTTGCTTATTCTAAAACTCTTATTTTAGTGGTAGAGCATGTTTCTTTGTGTAGTGTGAAGGAAATGCAGATGTGCAACATGAGATTTTTTTTAAATGGGAGGTAATGGCTTTACGCAGGAAGATAATGGATTAAAATGTATATCTACTAAAGCATAATGAAATATAAAAGAGAATAGAGCTTGTCAAAAAATTTAAAATAGAGTAATAAAATTGGGTGGAAAAGCAAACTCATGCTAGCAAACTCTAGCATGATTTGACAAAAAACCCAAGAATCTTATGACTTGGTCTAAGATTTGTAGAAGACAAAGACCTATAGAAACCAGCAGTCATGTTAGAGGCAAAATCTAGATTTCAATGAAAGCAAGAATGTATCTGTGACTATACTAATTTCCAAATGGTGGAAGTAGTTTTAGAGCAAATAATGACAAAAAAATCAGGTAGGTTCTATTTTTTAAAAAAGTATAGTATAGAAATAAAGAACAAGTACAGTTGACAACCAGAGAGTGAATGAGAGGTACAGGAAACAGTTACAGCATTCTATATTTATGAGTGACAGCTCATTGGCAATTTTGTTGGTAAGTTTGTAGGAGACTGAAGAAATCTTCATTTTATGAAATAACAAAATGTGGGAAACGAGATATAAAAGATATCTGACAAAAGATACAAGCTTTGTGTTAATGTGATATGAAAAGATTTCATCTTAGTAAACAGGCTCTTCATCTTAATTAAGAAAAATATATTCTGGAATAAACCACTCACTCTTGAAAAGCATGTACTATTTATGATTTTGCATAAAAAAGCAAAAAGGGCAATATGGTAAAGAACATCTCTCCCCCCCTTCAATTAGCTAATCCAGGCTTTTTAAAAATATTTGTTTCATTATTTTGTAAGTCAAGAACTATCTGCATTTCTTTTTATCTTACAACTTTGTCTATTTCTCCTTTTTTGTACATTGTCTAATATTGCCTACTCAAAAGACAAAGACAGTGATGAGTATGTCTTATTAAAATTATAAACTGAGACCAAGGAAACCTCATGTGGCAAGGACAGAACCAGCACAAAACTACTAAGCATAAAACACTTTCTATAAAACATGTATTTTTCAGAGCTTCCAATTTAGGGCCAAAAGGATTGTGTATCCTTTGATATCAGTGTTATTCCAAATACAGTATTCCTAACCAAATAACAAAAATCCTTGTTGAACACAGGCACACTTCTACCCTAAAAATAATTGAAGGTTTCTCCATCTCTGCCCTCCCTCGTGGCTTAATAGCCTGTGGCTTGTACCAAGAGGAAAACCAACAGAATAATCAACACATCCTGCAAAATTGACTCTCAGTAAGGTGTTTGTTTAATCTCTGCTTCAACCATATATGGTATAATTGAAATGTGATCATTTCAGCTGCCTTCTCAGTAAAGGGCAGGTGTGCAGTTTAATTTTTTACCTTTGCTTAATGAACCCTAATCTGCTTTTGCAAAATAAATGATGTATAATTGTTCTCTCCTATTGAGTTTTGTAAAGGGGTATTCCCCTAAAGTACTGTCCCCAGGAAGTGCTGGAAAACAGGAATTAAATAGAAATTTCCCAATCACAGAGAACATTCTTTTAGTGGATATTGTTGTCATAGTACTTGGAAATCAACTGAAACCTTTACTGCTCCAGAGATCTAAATAGTATGGAATTGCTAACCATTGTCCTAAATACTGTAGTTGACCCTCATTTAATGTGTCCCTCATTTAGCAACCATTCAGTTACCATGTTGGTGATAAAG